AGTATTCCAACTAGGCCAGCGCGTCACATGACCAGTTATTCTCACCATAAATCAAGTTCCTCTATGGATTTCTGCTGCTATTTTCAGGCCGTGAAAAATACACTCAGAAATGTAATGCAGGGAAAAATATAGTCATTCAATTTGTGAGATTGCGTTCGGGTCTTTGGTAGTCTTTTGTTCGATTTTGCACATTTCCCATCAGCCCAGATACTGAGAGAAAGAAAGAGAGAGAGAGAGAGAACAAGGTGACACCCAAAGTAACAGGCAGGTAGATAATGAAAACTAAACAACATCTATTTTTCTGTCTTGCTTTGTCTTCGATGCAAGGGGTTTTTTTTCCCTCCGCAGCTCGTCGGGGGAGTTGAGAAGTGCGTGTTATTGTAGCGTCTTAGACATCGAATCAACACGATAAAACAGCAGGTGGAAGCATCTAATTTTGACAAAAGGAGACGCTTTTTATAAACCTCCCAGACAGGATATTTTTAATCCCTTTGAGATTCGGCTGTAATAAAGACAAATTATGTAGAGAATAGATGAGACTAAAGTGTGGCATCAGAGGCTTCATAACATATTCAAAAATGTGCAGATTTTTTAATAACTCATTATTATTCAATTTCTAAGCAATATGGTCTTTAATTTATTCTTGACCGGGTTAAAACGCTTTCTAATCCTTAAATCTCACATTGATTGGTTAGATTTGCACACCTTTCCGGAGATATTAATTCATAGACCAGCAGAAATGAGTTATTGCAATGTGTTTTATATGTATACATTACAATACATTACATTTATACACACACACACATCAGAGTGAAGTGTCTTGCCTAAGGACACAACAACCATTGTCACAACACTATAGTAGAATACAGTAAATTTATCATAAAATGCATTACTGATTACGTAATATCCTCCCTATGGACCAATTCCAACCATCATTACAAAGTTTCATTTCGAACTAATACTTTAATTGCGTAACATCAAGCTTGGCGATCTCTTGTGAATCTTTTTTGCGCCAAACAGAGCTCTTCCCAAAGCCCTTTATTTACTTTGGGACGGCTTGAAGCGGGAGCCAAGTCATTTCTGATAAGGTCCAGATCTGAGCGTCATAAAGCAGATAGGAGACGATGGCCGTATTTAGACAGGCTCTGTAAATAAACACACACTAATGGCCCTTGGAGCGGCCCTTGTGGTGATAAAGTCTATAGAGTCATGTCCTCTAAAGGTCTGCCATTAGGATGAACTGTGGTGTTGGGATTATGTTGGATGAAGAGCGCAATAATTGAGATGGATAGATAGATACTTTATGGATCCCCGTCGGAGAAATTCAGGTGTCCAGTAGCAGCAAAAATGAAAATAAAAATGATCATTCTAAAAACATAACAATAGTAATAATCTGCAACAGCCTCAGGTCACAGCAGAAGAGGTGGAGAAGCCTCTGGGTGGAGCAGGTCGGGTCACAGCAGCACAGGTGGAGTAGCCGCTTGATTCGGACCATTTTCTCTGCTCTAGTCCAAAGTAAATTGCAAAATGCTTCATTAGCATTTTTCAAAAAGTCAGCATTCCTCCGGTGGATTTTCACCTGATCCGCTTGGTTTAGACCATGACTCCTCTCTGCTCTGGTCTGGACCAGTGTAAAACCATGGACACTGCAGCAAAATCTCAGGCAGAAAAAAAGCAAGATATTTTGTATTTATTTAACACAAAACAATTGTTTTTAGAGCTACTTAGAACTCCAGGCGCATCTTTCAAAAAATTAAAATTAAAAATAAAAAAATGAAATGGACAGACAGAATTTGTTTAAGTATGGCACCTCCTCATTCATTGAACTCAGTGTTGCCTCTCAATAGATTTTACCTGTCGCAAAATGTACTCAGAGACTTGAGGACTGGGTTGGTGTTTCTGGAACAGCCCTAAGCTGGTTTATATCCTACCTACAGGACAGAAAGTATTTTGTGGAGATCGGAAACTGTATCTCAGACCATCTGGCCCTAACCTGCGGAGTGCCACAGGGATCAATCCTGGGGCCTCTCCTGTTTAATATTTACATGCTGCCTCTGGGTAGGTTAATACACAGTAATAACGTGTCCTATCACAATTATGCTGACGATACTCAGGTCTATGTGTCCCTGACAGCAGGAGAACATGGACCAGTGGACTCGCTCCTTCACTGTATCCAACAAATCAGTGATTGGATGCAAAATAACTTTCTCCAGCTAAACACAGAAAAAACTGAAATTATTGTTTTCGGACCTCAAAAACAAAGAGAGAGCGTTATCTGCCACCTCCAGTCTCTCTCCCTAAAACCCTCAACTCAGGTCAGAAATCTAGGAGTAATAATGGACTCAGACTTAAATTTCAATAGCCACATATCATCTGTGACATCATCAGCTTACTTCCACCTAAGAAACATTGCTAAAATTAAAAACATTGTGTCTAAAGCAGACTTGGAGATTCTTATCCACGCATTTGTCTCCAGTCGATTGGACTACTGCAATGGCTTGTTCACAGGTCTCTCTAAACAAGCGGTAAAACAGCTGCAGTACATCCAAAATGCTGCAGCTCGAGTCCTGACTAGAACCAGGAAGTACGACCACATTAGTCCGGTCCTCAGGTCTCTGCACTGGCTTCCTGTGGCTCAGAGAATAGATTTTAAAGTAGCTTTACTTGTGTACAAGTCTCTCCATGGCCTCGCACCAGGGTACATCCGCGACATGTTGGTGCCATATGAACCAACTCGGGCTCTGAGGAGCACAGGGACTGGACTTCTGTTAGTGCCAAGAGTCGGAACTAGACATGGGGAGGCTGCGTTTCAGATTCATGCAGCTAGAGTCTGGAACCGTCTTCCCGAGAGTGTGAGACAGGCGTCTACTCTAGCAGTTTTTAAAACTGAACTGAAAACAGTTCTTTTTAGCTGTGCATACAAGTGAATGATTTCATATTTGTTTTTATCTTTAATCTTTTAAATGCGCTATGATTATTTATGATTGTAATCCCTTGTGTGATTTTAATGTTTTACGGTTTTTAACTACTTGTGTGATTTTATATATCTTGTGCTCTTAATCTGTCTTTTTATGTTTACTTAAATTCTAATGTTTGATGATTTATGCATGATGTTATATGGGTTGTGAGGCGCTTTGCGTTGCCTTGTGTAGGAAAGGCGCTCTATAAATAAACGTTGATTGATTGATTGATGTAACTACTGTGTATCCATGGAGATGAATTCAGTCAGGCTTTGCACAAACTACTATTTAGACTTGAATGATCATATTTTTGATCTGGATATTTGATCTAGATCAGCCATTCCCAAACTCGGTAACACCGAGGCCCCCTTAAAAATCTGACGGGTCTGCGTGGCCCCCCAAAATAATAACCAAGAAGACAACATTAAGAATAGGCTCTTCTGGTTATTTTATTTTGGGGAAATAGCCTCTGCTACAAACATTGTAATACAAAAATGATTACAGTGGATTATTCAAGTCAAATAATGAACACTAATATTTTAATATTACAAACAAAACATTATAAATTTAACATTAAATAATTATATTATTTTTTTATTTTTTTTATGACCTCCCGCGGCCCCCCTGCAGTACCCAGACTTTGGGAGACACTGATCTAGATAGTTAAATAAATCACTTCTACAGCTATTTGGTTCCATCTTATTATGATTGATTATGTGCCTGAAAAAAGCTCAAGCTTCAAGTTGTTAAAGTGGTTTAAATAATATTTGACATGATCATTCATTCATTTCAAAAACTCTCTATTTCTAAATATTGTGCTTGTTAATGTGGAACAGTAGAAAATTTATTTTAAAAACCCAGTGTGAGTGGATTCCTGCTGAATATCGACGACCCCCTTGTGCCACTTAGCACTGGCCCTCCAGAGGTGCAGTCGCATCCAAAAGGCTATTACGGCCACGGAATGAGAAGCGTTTGTTCCACTAGCTTCTTCAAACTAAAGGCCACTAAAAGTTATGGGCCCTTTTACAAGCAAACCCAGATTGCCAAACCATAATGCTAATGTATCTGCAAATACCGAGGCCTCATGGGAACTGTAGTCATCAATTCTCCAGAGGTCCGTCTCCAAATTACCTCTTTAAAATGCAGCCGTTCGTCATGCTATTTCTAAATGTTGCTTAATATTGATTTTTTTGAAGCGCACTGGGCTCGTAAGTTTCTAATGGTTGAAGTCAATACATGGATTAGCTTAGACCTTATTAGATATTTTAACAACAACAAAAAGACACTGTACTATTGTGTACAGTAAGTATTTTTTACTTATCAACAATAATATATTTATAAAAGTCCCTCTTCTTGGCATAATATTCGACCAGTGAGATTTGCAGAGGTTAAACCAATGACCACAGGGCACAAGGATTTAGATTAATTTGAACCAATCAGGAAGCTGCGGGGGTGAGCAGCGGATCTAACCCATGTTTGTTCTTTAAAAAGTTCCCCAGTGTGTGTTGGTTTACTGCTGGTTGCTGTCAAGTCCAAAATTCGTATCAATGTTAGCTTCTTTGAACAGATATATTTATTATTAGCCATGGATTCAAAAACTTGAAACATTAGACACCATGAGAATTATTTTGTGTCTTTAGTACATATCCTCCTCTGCAAAGCAGATAACATGATCGGATTAGAATCTGTTTTTGTTTTTCCCTCCTGTGCAAAATATACAAACTTGAAGTAAATCAATGGATGCATATGGAAGCTGCAGTTACCATATGGACCATCGCTGCTCAGCACAACACGCTTTGCACTGTCTAATATTGACTGATGATTTTCCAACATGAGCATATGAATTCAAGCCTATATGAATGTTGAAAAGGAAAACATTTATTTTTTGGAGTTTGCAAGCATTTTATCATTAAACGTGACCAAAAAAAGGCCAATTAAAGATGGCAGAGCTATGACTCTGAGCTGAACGTCTTTGTAATTCTATCGAAGCCTCGTTCTGTCCATTAGTAATAGTTAAATATTGTTTTGTGTCTCTTTCAGATATTTTGGACAGCATGGCACGCTTCACCGTCCCATCCGTCTTCAACTACAGCATGCTGACTCTGTCCGACCACGAGAGGGTGCTGTACGTGGGGGCGAGAGAGACCCTGTTCGCCCTGGACCCCAACGACATCAGCCGACAGCTTCGACCACAGGTGCAGAGACTTCATTTCCTTTTCTCAGAATGATCGGATGTCTCGATGGCAGTCTCAGTCCTGATTCCCATATTCCAGTTTACAGTTGTCCCTATGTCTTACAAATATGACTTGCTGTAGAGAAACAAATATTTGGTCATTTATCAAGTAAAAAAATTTGAAAATATTTCTAATTAGTAATTTATCCACAAACCAATTGTTTCCCAATTTTTTCATTTTTTTCTTTGTTTCATTTTTATAATCTGTCACCTGAGTTTATGCCTGTAAAAATAGACTGTTTTTGAAACTGTCACTTGGAAACTTTGTGAAGCACAAATCAAACTAATTAAAAGTAAAACGCTCACACACTTAAAACATATGAATATATAAATATATCCTGCCCACTTTTCTCTCACAAAATATCACAGCTATTGTTTCAAAATGTGTCCAATTGTTTTTTTGATTTTGTTTTTGTCAACTATTCTATCCTGCAAGTAACGACTTGACGTTGTGTGAGTGAAAGTTAATGGAATGGTTTTGTTTTTTACAGTCGATAGTTCAGAAATCAATAGCACAAGACTTTCCCAAATTGAATTATGCCCGGTGCTCGGCTGCATTAACTTAATGAAATTAGCTTCATATTTAAAAGCTATATCGGCTTCGCTCGGACTCTCCATTATACAATCTCTGTCTCGCTCGCACCATTAACTTACAGGCTGACCTTAAATGATTATTTTTCATTTTGGCTTCAAGGACGACACGTCGCAGATCTGCTCAAGTGTCATAATAAATGCCAATGTTAATGTTGGCTCTTTCGTTGGGCTACATGATATCACTTTTATGAAATGGTCGATGGCGGCTGCAGCTAAAATGATCTAGACGTGGACCAATTAGGAGTCTACTTCAGACTTGTCCTTCGAGCGGGGTCAAAACTGTCATCAAGAAATAATAGCTGTAGTGAGCTGAAAGCATAGTTAGTGTTTTTCTGTCTTGGCTCACAGTATTTTCCTTTTATAAACGGTCTTTAATTGACGAACCATAAACAATAGCAGATTGAAAGGACATTTATTGGTCTATTTCATAACCTTCTCTTCAATAGCATTAAGTGCAGATAAATATTGTTGTTTAACATTTCAAAGTTTTCAAGTTTTTTCTTGAAAACTTGTCTCTGTTTGCAGACATTATGTTTCGGAAATGTCCACATATTTTCCCATTTTCGCAACCTTATTTTTAAATTGGGTGTCATTTCACCAAAATAGGTCAAATTATACATACCTAAAGGGCTATTTCTTACATGTGCGCAAAAGATACAATGTTTTATAACAAGATGCAGGTCATGGGATTAAAGATGAACAGGGCACCGTTTTTCACAATTCAAACCTACCATTAATTACATCAGTCTCAAAGTAAAAGTATTGCCTCTTCACAACAAAAAACCAATGTCTGATCAAGGACAAACAGATTATGAAACTATGACACAACAAAGACATACTTTCCTTCGGCGTCGCTTCAAGTTCATTTTGTCCCTGGTTTTGTGTATTTTTGACACATGTTGCCAAGTTATTAATTCATTCAAAGATTATTTATGTGATCTGTCGCCTAATGCCTCCAAGAGTAATGTTGTGAGCCTTGAGGTGCCAAGCTCTCTCTGAATGTGGTAAGTGCCCGTATTGGCTCCTGTCCTGTGCACAAATCTATACGACTGCAGCCGCCGCGTGGGAGGACACACACTTGTTTTACTTCCTAGACTTTACGATGGCTATTTTATTGTCCGCCTTTTAATTGGCAAATCGTGTTTTTTTCCTCTCTGGGCCAAAGCTGTTTATAAATGACCATATTTGGAGAGTCTGGAAATGGTTTTTTAAGATGATCCAGTTTGCAAAAATTGACTTTTAAGAGCGTTGGACCTTGTTTTAAATGCTTTCATTTTGTCATTTTGCTCCTTTAAGTTTGTAAAGTGATTCATTCATGTTTGAGTAATAGTGCTAATATACAGTCTTATATACAAAGCCTTTTAAAAACTGTATCAATATTAATTGTCATAGATGAGACTTTCACAAAAGCATATCAGGCATAAGTGTGTTTTTCCTACTATATTTTTACTTATACATGAAGTTGGACAATTGTATCCGCATCAAAAAGTAGTATCTGAAATTAATTTATCTGCATCCTCTCTAATGTCAAAGCTTTTTTTTGCAAACTCACCCCTCGCCCCCACGGTCCAAAAGTGACAAATCCTCAATAAGGGCCTCTCCACACCTCTGCCGGTCCTTGATATCTGCATTTCTTCACAATTATGGAGATTGGAACCCCTCTGAGGCCCAATCCAGTGTCTTGCTCTTAATAATTACAATCAATACAATTACAAGGTCTAATGGAGGTGCTGTGAGCGGCCCGCAGTGGTTTGGAGAATGTATCTGATTTACCTGCCTAATCTAATTATACTGTCACACCAACCGGAGGACTGAGGCCAGGAACAAGAGACAAAGGAAAATGCCACATACTGAGCTGAGTCTGTGCACATCCAACTCCACTGCTGCACTCAACATTCACATAGAACTAAAGGAATGAATCAGAATAGTAAAAAGTAGAAAAAGTAGCCCAGACCAGGGCAAACTGCGAGCTGAGGGCCAAATGCGGTCCAATTTACATTTCTAGGCGGCCCCCGGACTCTTCCGCAAAAACATTTATCAAATCAATCTAGAATTTTGTCTTCTTCACGTTTGGTCCAGTTTTGGTTAAATCCAAGCAAAACCAAAAATAATATATATATATATATTGGATTTGCAGGGGATTGGGGGGGTCATACAACTATCTTTTTCATTTGTTTACAATTCATATTAAGATTAAGAGATAATTTATTCGTCCTACAGCGGGGAAATGTCAGTGTCGCATCACCAGTTACCGAACATTATGAGTAAGTGCTCAAATAAGTGTTTTTTTTTGTTTAGAAACTTATGATTATATTTGATTTATTAAGGAATGAAACTGAAATAGAGGTTAAAGCTGCACACACTGACTTTATTTTTGTATTCATTACAAAAATTAAATCCATATCCATGCAGTGCATTGGGATATACGTCCTTTTGAAGAAAAAGTAGCGCAGATTTGTGCTGGCGTGACATATTTTTTGGTGCAACAAGGAAGAGAATTTGTTTCAGGTCCAGATTGTGACCAATCACAGCGGACCACTGGCCCCCGCTTTCTTGAGAAAAGCTACAGGTCTCTTGTTAGCACAGACAGCTGAGGTGAACAAGCGGCGGAGGCTAACCTGAAACTTCCTTGTCTTCGCTACCGGTTACTGCTTACACAGCGAAACAGCCAAAAGAAAGTCTCGTTCCTCCGCACTTCCTGGTTCTATCATTCTATGGTCACGCCATCCACATTCAAAAGTGCGATCCATATTGTGAGATGTGAGCTCCATAAACAGCAAATGTGTAAATCATTATACTTCACTAATTATTCACGGTGAAGGTTGAGGTCCAGTAAAAACAGATCCAAAAACGTCTCAAATGACAACAAATTATTTCTGATTTCATCTTTGTGGGGCTCCTGTTGCCTCGCCAGCTGTCCGCTCCCCTCTGCTTGAGAATCCCCGGTCCTCAGTAATGCGAGTGGTCGTCCCCCGTGTGCCATGTACGAGCGAAAGAGCACAAACCCAGGAGATGTTTGGCGTCTATCACCATCTGCACACTGCTCTCTTTTAATGGGCTTTTGTAACTGTCTGCTGTCTTCTGCTCAATCTTCATCTGCTTTGCTGTCTGCAGGGGAAACTAACATCTGCCAAACAGAAATCGACACATTTATCATAATATTATCGACGCGAGCCGAGTAGTACAACCTCTAACAGGAGAATAATTGCAGCTTAATTAAAATGAGGACTTTGTTATGTCAAAGTTAAAATGCATGTGATTGGTTGGCGGACAGCGGCACAACTGGTCGAGAGTATTGGTGGCTCACAGAAAGGTTCCACACAGAAGAACCTTTCTGTTTGGTTTGCATGTTCTCCCCGTGTCTGCGAAGGTTTCCTCTGGGTGCTCCGGTCTCCCCTTACCACTAAAAATATGTAAAATCGGTAGTGACAGCCAAAATGCCCAAAAAACTACAAATTGTAAAGCGCTTTGTGACTCTGGGGTGGGAAAGGCGCTATATAATTAAAGATTACTTACTTACTTACTTACTGGACCTACTCCATCTTCTCTCACTGACGTCTGCTGTCGATGTGTCCCTGGGCAAGACACTTAAACCCACTGTGCCTCAAGCCCCTGTCGAAAGACCAAGGCTGGACCCACCGCCTGCAGGAGGATCAGTGAGGGGCTGGTGCTTAGAGGGTGGCAGCTCTGATTGCCCCCTACCACAACATAACATGATTAATGAAAGCGGATGAATGAATAAATGATGGAATGAACCCCTTTACAAATGGAATATTTTTATTTATTTACGCATTTTACAAGTATTTTCAATATATTTCTAAACTTTTTTTGCAAACATGTTAGTGCAAAACTACCAATTATAGGCATTTTCATAGTGTATGTGTTGTTTGGACCCGTGTTGGCTTTTGATGATTATGGCTGATAGTCCTTTTTCAAAATATTTCACAATTTTCTAAGGTGTTTTTTACCAGCTGTGAGCCGTGAGCATATAAATGAATAAAGGATTGATTTCACATTGTAAGTTGGCTTATGGAATTAAATTAATTTCTAAGTTGGGTCAACATTTTCTTGCAAAGCAGTTTTAGAAGAGTAAACAATAGAAAAAAATCATATGGGCTTTCAAACTCTATACACTGATTTATTCCATCTATTCAAACTACAGCAGCTGCTCTCTCTGTTTCCAATATTTTGAAGCTGGGTCCAAGTTTGCAGATTCTTTCACATACTTTAAGAGAGTCAGTTGAATTGAAAATTGAAAATTGAAAAGTAAAACCCTTTGGAGACTGTGGCCTTTGCTCTTGCATTTACTTCAATGGACTCCTGTGGTCATTGTTATGGCAGAGGCTGAAAACACACTAATTAAATCATGAGAAAAATCTATTTTGTGAATAACCTGTCTGTTGGGAGGTCAATAATGTTGGTTATAGTGGTAGTTGCAGTGTGTTCCCTTTGACGGCATTAAAGAAAAATAGTTCTAATGATATTGTTGTAACATACAAATACAAAATGTATATACTTTTCGTACTGCAGGTGAACTTATGTGGCTATACCTGCATGTGAACGCCAGATCCCGGCAGAAGCTGTGCAGGGTAGGGCCTGGTTAGTACTGCGATGGGAGACCTCTGGGAACACCAGGTGACACAGTGGGGCGGCTGTGGCTGTAAAGTGCCTAACTGTGGTTGTGTCCTTAGGCAAGACACTTCACCCACATTGCCTAGAATGAGTCTGGTGTGTGTGTGAATGGTCGGTGGTGTTCGGAGGGGCTGATGGCACATACTGGTTGCTTCGCTTCTGTCAGTGTGGCTACAGTAGTAGTTTATCACCTCTGTTTATGGAGTGAATGAATAATTACATGGGAAGCGTCTTTGAGTGTCCAAAAAAGCACTATATAAAACCAATAATTTATGTTGTTCTTTTTTACTGTTGAATAAATACATTCATGAAAACAAAATGTATATAAACGTGACATACACAAGACTAAGAGGAAATATGACGCATGTTTAGTGGCCCTTGGTTTCTGCACCATTAGAACTAACAGTGGTCATTACAGGTGGAGCTGCTGTAAATCCTAGAGCCCTCCATATTGGACTTGGACCAATAGCAATCACACAAAGGATTATGGCCGAACAGCAGAGACCTGAGCCGATAAAGACAGTATATTACTCTGACTTTTATGGAGCGCAGTAACAATGACTTTTAATAATGTTGGATACAAGGAGTGATGCATCTGGTGGCATCCGTTTGACCTGCGGGCGATTGAAAGAGAGGAGTCGAATGTGAGATGGGGATCATAATCTTCAAACCAATGAATACAGTATAACTCATTTAACTATTTCAAAACAGTTCTGTCACTAGTCTTCACATAAATGCGATGGTTGGCCTCTGTCACACCTTTAGATCAGGTTTATAAGACGGATAAAAATATGTTTCTTTTAATCTTGTTTTATTGATTATTTATGTACTTTGGACTCTTGGACTTTTGCGTTTGTATTCCAATGTGGTTTTACTGCAAATGGCAAATGTTATGAATTTGAAGCTGTAAAAAAGAGGATCCCCATCACAAATCTCACAAGGCTCTATACAAATTATATAAGGTTCGATTCATTGCACTTGTATATAGCAGTAATTTCAAAAAATATAATGTAGATTGTTATTTATGCATGCCTTATTCTATTCTCTACTTTAACTGAGCACCGAGAGCCAAAGCAATTTCCTATAGTTGTGACGTCTTGATACTCTCTTGCCAATAAAATAATTCTGATTCTGATTTGAATTCAATGTATTTTTGTATAGCCCTAAATCACAACGGCAGTGGTAACTTTCCAAGGTTGTCAGTTCAACATTTTTGCCTTTTCTCAAGCAATGTCATACTGTTTCTAATCTTCTAATATCTGACATACAGTGACGGATTTACTCTTATTTTTCTTATCTTTTGAAATCTCTTTACATTCATGAAAATATATGATAACATATTATGATATTTTGCTCACAAGACAGATATAACAGATAAAAGATATAAACTATTGTGTTGTTGATTCTAATCTGTATTTTTTTCTGTGTCTCTTTTGTGCAGATCGACTGGCCGGCCCCGCAAGATAAGAAGAGAGAGTGTGTGGCCAAAGGGAAGAACAACCAGGTAACGTGCACGCGCCACTTTAGCACCGCGTTTCTCTCTGATCCATTAGATTTTGTCAAGCCAGGCTCAGGTTTCAGCGCTGGAGAGCTTCCAGTCATTACATTAGCAGCAGCAGCAGTGGCAGTAGCAGCAGTAGCAGCAGAATCACACGGCCATCAGCAACTGCAGACTTAGCTTGAGATCAGCAATGTTAGGAATAGATGCACGTCCTGTTTACAAGACGCTAACAGGAAGTCAAAACAATCACGTCAGTAGAGACATGTCGGTAAATGTTGTTATGAGTGGTGCTGAAGTGGACATTTCAAATACATAGAGATACCCCCGAGACACTATTGATCAGCATAAGGCTTTAAAGGGGACGTACCATGCAAAATCCACTATTCACCGAATTTCTCAGTTTTTTCCCAGTTCATTTATACATTCAAAGTCTGGATTTTAGAAATGTTCTTCAGTGTGTCTTGGGGACGTTAGCGTATGCGTGCAGGTTACGTCCAAGTACAGCGTGCCTGACAACAAGACCTATCTGAGTGGAGATTGCATGTTCTCCCAATGTCTGTTCCGGTTCAGACTCAGTTTATTTGTTATTTCCTGTAAAACCACAATTGGAATACAGTTGTAAAAGTGCCGCAGTGTGCACTAGTCATAACACACAAAAAATAGCTAAAAATAAACAAACCAATCAACAAAAAATATTTAAATAACAAGTGCAAGTTGAAAGAAGCTGTTAGCATAGCACCTTGTTTAGCGCTCTCCTTTCCTTGGCTTTGATGTTGCCGAACCACACAGTTACAGAACCAACAAGAAAACTTTCAACGGAGAAGGAAAAGTTGAGCAGAATCATAGAGGTTATGGTGAATTCCTGCTACAAAAGTTTCTGCAGAAAACACTGATGAGCTTTCCTAACAACCTGATTAGTGTTTTTGTCCCATTCCACGTCATTAAACAGAGTCAAACCCAGAAACTTGCTCGCCTCTACAATCTGCACATGTATGAGTGAACAGATGGTGATGCGCCAGGCGTTCGGCACACTCAAAAATACACAAAAATCTGTTTGAATAAATAGCACTTACTCGTAATGTATTCCAGCGGTGAAATACATAAAACGGTTACGCTCCACTACGATTAGGATGGATCTCAATTTTTTACATTTCTTGGCTTTACTCCAGATCTTACATTAGAATTGTCAGTTTCAATCTTCTCACCACCACACCGTTCAGATATGCTTACTTTCAACTCCATGTTTTCAAGTGGATTTTCTCCTCTGAAGCTTGAATATTTCTTTCAGAAAGCGGTCAGTGGCCTTGTCTCCCTCTCAGCATAATGTACTCTTCATTTGCAAAATCTTGTTACATTTTTTATGAATGCCTGCACAGTTTTTGGGGCGAAGAGGGGATATAAAACTTTTCTCTTTTGCACTGCAGTTATTTTTGATGGATTTTAGTGCAGAGTGTGAAAAAACAGTTCAGGGACATTGTGAGTGGATCTCTTTTATTTTAATTTTATTCACTTTGTTGTTTCATGTTTTAGAATTTGACAGTACAGAAGTCTGTCTATACAGTTTATCCATCTATCTGTCTTTCTATCAATGCAGATCTATTGGCTATTTTAAAATATCCTCTTTAATCCTAAAGAAAAACAATGTATTGAGCCTTATAACGCTGGACATAAAATGGCGTTTGAGGTGTTTTATAGAAGTCTGTAAATTCTAATCTGTTTTGATGCAATTCCTTAAAGCTGGGGTACTTAAAACACAAAAACATGAAATTATAAAATACTTTATCACATGCATGGATTTTTGCCACATCTTTAGATCAGATTTGTCATGCTGTGGACTGATTTGTTCCCAGACTCCTTCTGTTGAGACAAAATATATTATTTTTGGATAAAATAAAGTTGAGTTCTCCGCAGCTTTAAAGATCCAATGTACCTGGAATGATGGTTTTATTGATCGTATAAAACCATTAGATAAAGGAATATCTGGTTTATTTCCAGTCAAATCAAATATTCTGGGATGAATCAAGACCAGTTTGACACACTCACAAGTAGTAGTAAGTAATCTTTATTTATATACCGCCTTTTCACTGCACATCGGAGTCTCAAAGCGGTTTACAATTGTTATTTTTGGGAGTGGGGGTCGCCAGTACACGAGGCGCACGCCAGACCTATTGTACATATTTTTAGTGGTAGGGGAAACCGGAGCACCCGGAGGAAACCTACGCAGACACGGGGAGAACATGCAAACTCCACTCAGAAAGGCCCTGGTCCAACCGGGATTCGAACCCAGGACCTTCTTGCTGAGAGGCGAGAGTGCTATCCACTCAGCCACCGTGTCGCCCACTCACAAATAGAGATATATATGTAAATATATAAAAGATAAAAGATAAAGTCCACAACTGCTAGAGAATTAATAGCGTTGCATATAGTTTTTAGCATCAATAGCATCAATTTCAAGTTTTGGCTCGAATACTGCGAATCCAAACCATTAATGAATCTAACTTGCTGCATTTACATGTATAGTTTGAATCCAAATTCAGATAATTCTCCATTATGGTGCCAACTTGCATGTGTGAATGTGTGTTTAGACTGATCGGCCATTATCAGAGAGGTCACAAACAACATCTATAAAATTAGCCTTTGCATTCCTAGCATCGTACATACAGTGCCTGTCGCAAATGATCCCCCATTATCCCTTTAATTAAGCCGCTACAGTAGAACAGAAGTCGAAGCTAATGCCTGCTGCATATGGCGAAACATAAAATCTTACAATGTAAAAAGCCCATATGGCCGTTTACAGTGGCCAGTGTGATTAGCAATTAGCTTTTCGAGTCAAGCTGCCAAACTGATCTCAGACTAATTAGACTTTTCAGTTGCTGTATAAGTGAAATATTAAAAAATGTAAATTGCAATAATACGAGCAGCAAAACATTCATATTGTTTTGATTTTTCTTTTCCAAATGTAATAGCCACATCATCTGAATGGAGTGAATTATTCATCGCTAAATGGCATTCCAGCATCTGCTCCCAATAGCATTCAGAGAGTTGTATTGTTTGTCACAGCCCAAGTATTAAAGGGCATTTCTCATAAAGCTCTGCATGAATTACAGCCCTAACCACATGCATACTGTTGAGCTAAAGACAAGCTGTCGAGCTCTTGTCGCATTCAAAGGTTACAGAGATTATATTGTTGGGTCTTCAGTAAATATTTAGAATGGGGAATTATCGTAAACAAAGAAAATGTGGGACTGATTTGAATTGGAAAATGTAATGGAAGTGTGAGGTTGTGTCAAAAGTAATGGATCATGATGGAATATTCAGGTTATACTGCAGAGTTTTCACTAAAGAAGAAATGGTATTAAATAGTAGAGAATATTTACTTTGTTGTTTCATGTTTTAGAATGTGGAAAAAAGGGGCGGCACAGTGGCTTATGGTTAGTGGTTAGCTCTCTCGCTTCTCAGCAAGAAGGTCCAGGGTTGAAATGCGGAGGACACATTACGGGGACAATAAAGTATCGTTTTAAAAATGCTTTCCGCCTTTAGTCCCCAATGCTACCACCAGAGGGAGGAGTTTGAATTTGAGTTGAATCTGTGTTAGCTCTTTCTAGTCATATCTTACTTACACATTTTATCTGCTTTAGAAATGATTTCACATTCGAAAACATGAAAGTCAAAGTGAATATTGTCAAGATCATTCAAATGAAGCCCACAAACCCCTTTTTCATTAAACAAGGGAGATAAGTGGCCTTTCACACTTATTGCTCATTCCATTTTCATGTCAATATCATTTTCTTTTAAGATAAGATATGCTTTATTTATCCCACAAAGGAGAAATTTACATGTCACATTTGGCATGGATTGACACACTCAGATTGTGCAAAAAGGGAGGAAATGTGCAAACATGTTAAATGCAGGATATATTATGTACAATTAAAAAAAGTGGCAATTTCAAAGTGGCAATCAGAAATAGTGTCAATATTAGTGCAGGCTTTTTCAGTCATATACAGTGACTTAAAGTGACTTATTGTACAGTCTGACAGCGGTGGTGATAAAGGCCCTGCGGTAGCGCTATCTAAGATATGGAATGTAAGCATCCAGTGAACCTATGTGCATGATAAACAAAAGTATTAGTGTAAAAATCACAGCTTAAAGGTAATAAGAGGTAAACTATTTAGTCTAAATTAATTTTCAACTGATTTGTTTTGTCAATGAAACGACAGTAACCGCACATAGACAGTGGTTGATAGGATTCACCTCACTGTCTCAAATGGGAGAAAGATTGGCCTTATTCCTCAGGTTGTATGGAATGTTATTTTTCATGAATTTGAATTGTAAATTATTAATCTAGACTACCATAAACATTTATATTTAAAGAAATACTAAAGAGACATGTTTATAATATTTATACAGTATTTCATGTTTGTGTTGCCTCGAGCCACGGTTCAGAAGTACAAGATCAGAATCCAACAGTCGGAGAGGAAGATGAAACCACTCTGACATAAGACGAAAAATAAATTACTAAAATAATGAATTCATATCCAGTTGGAAATCCCATATACAGTTTTACAGATAGCATATTTTAACCATGGTTCTCAGCCGGTATTTTTTCCAACAAAACTTTACCGAGGGTCAAAGTATGAGGAATGCTCTGGGACATTTACTCATTTACATCTGTGAACATTGAGTCGTCGATTTGCCTCCAATGAAATATGGCTGTTTAAATTTTTTGTATTTTCTCATCTGTTTTTGGTAAATCAACAACAGGTTGCGTTTATGTTTTAGAATTATGTTTTCAGTTGTAGGGCAGGTGCCAATACATCTAGATGGGAAAGAAGAAATTCTGAAAAATAAAATGTCTAAATGTTTTCCCAGGTCATTATTTGATTGTAAACCTGGCATAATATTCTGAAAGTCCTTTTTACTGGCCAACAAACTATGTTCAATTTTGTCACCGTGCCTTTATGAGAAAATAATTAGACCCTAGTAGACCATATATGTAATGACAAAGAAGATGTGGAACCGTATGACAAATGTTATGGATTGGCCCAAGAAACACCCTCGCTGTGAGAGGTTTTCGCAGGTCTTTCCTTCCTGCTGCTGTCAGACTGTACAATGAGAACTGCTGAGCCTGTACATGTCAATCCTCTGTAAATAAGTAAATACTGTAATCATGTGCAATTTGCAAAACGGAGACTTCAGATTGTCCACGGAATGTGACTAATCTACTTTTCTACTTATTCTGACCTATACGTATATAACTTTGCACTATATAGAGAGATATGTTTCGAAGGATTGATATTAAAGCATCTACAGCTAGCAAAGAAACAGCAGCTTCTTATGTTGTATATTGTGTGTGATCCCTGTGTGCTCTTACTACTGTCCTGTATGTGCGCTGCAACACTGAAATTTCCCCACTGTGGGACGAATAAAGGATCTTAATAAGCTCTAAACTAAGACATTCGTGTTGTGACAGACATAGTTACTAGGAAAAATATTTCAGTCCCACCACAAAGGTAACCTATAGGCCCTTTATGAATGTAGCATACTGTGTTAAATCCTCTGAGACCGGTGCTGTTTTTGTTTTTGGGCTGTGCAAAAGTTAAGTTTGTTCTCTCTCTGTTTCAGACCGAGTGCTTCAACTACATCCGCTTTCTTCAGAGCTACAACCACACGCACCTGTACACCTGCGGCACCTACGCCTTCCAGCCCAAGTGCACCTACGTGGTAAGTCCCAATCCCCCTCATCGCCCCGGGCCCAATACTGAGCCAAGAGATCAAAATATATATTAAAACAGAAATATTTTTGTGTCAATCTGTGTTGTATTTGAGCTCTGTGAAATATGAGGAAGATCTGCTCATGTGAGTTGTGTTGTTTCAGTTAGTTCCCATTGACATTATATATATCTAAGTTAGATAAACTTTTCACACACCCATGTTCTTCTAAAACTTGACTTTATACTTCTTCTTTTTTTATAGCTGTACTCATTAATCATAATTATATATTTCACTGTTATTGTGCTTTTAATCATTGTTTATTGGTACCAAAAGACCAAAACGAATTATTAGTTTGTGTTTTTTTTGCCGCTGCTATTGGCAGAAAAATTAATTCTAATTCCAAAAGTTGAAATAATTATTTTCTATTTGATTGTTTGAAATTTAATAACAGTAATTATATAATTTGCATAAAGGGACGCGCAAATTGTTTCTGACGAGATGGATAAAGATAACAATGGATAATTTTGATGACATTTCTTCTATATTCTTTGACAAATACTGTTTTTCTTAAAATGTATATTTTTTGTTGGTTACCAGTGCTAAGTTTAAGTAAGTAAGCTTTATTCATACAGCGCCTTTCACAAACCAAGGCCACAAAGCGCTTCACAGTTTAAACAGGTAAAAACAGACAAAATACAATTTAAAATGTGCATACAAAAAATAGAAAATATACATACAGTAAATATAATGGCCAAGACAGCTCAGTGACAGGTTTAAAACAGCCGCAAGAAAATTATGTAAAAGCTTGCCCAAATAAATAGGTTTTTAGCTGACCTTCGAAAGAATCAACAGTGTATAGAGAGACAATAGTTAAAAACATTCCATATGCCTCTATAGAGGAAGACTGTTGGTTTTTGTCTGTGTTTATATGCAGTATATAGACTCATATATCAAACAGAAAGAGATACAACATTCCCTCTTCTTTTTACAAATCCTATATTGAATTATGAGTTTTTAAGATAAGCTCAGATAGACTTTATTGATCTCACACAGGAGACATTTACATTTCAGTTTGTATTTAAGTGCCTGTGATAGTCACGTGTTATGTCATCATTGAGAGCTGTGTGTGTATTTGTGTGTGCGTGTGTGTGTGTATGTGTGTGTGCGCAGAATGCAGACTACTTCACTCTCAACACTGCGGCTCTAGAGGACGGAAAGGGCAAGTGTCCGTATGACCCAGCCAAAGGACACACCGGCCTTATAGTTGGTACGTCCATTGCCAGTTGCGATTTTACAACTCTTTTTACTGCTACTATTACATGCATTCTATAGCGGCTCTCAAAGTAATAACACTAATAGTCTTAGAGATACCGATCATATTAGTGGCCTCTAATTGAACAGTAGATTAGTTTACTTATTGCTTGTAGAGACGATTTAAATGTATCCACATGTATTCATAGAAGTCACTGAAGGTGCACCTCAGGGCTCAGACTTCGGACCTAACTTGTTCTCTGTCTAGGAGGAAAATATGCCACTTGACAGTTTTCAATCTGCGCTCACTTCAAAAATGACAATAATAGTATTTGAGAAGCCATTCTTGTCCAAATTGAGGCTTTGTGCAAAAAACAATTGATTGTGAGATAACAAAAGATTATGCAATTGTCAAAAAATACTATAATCATTGGTGCATTTAGCTGAAATAACATGCAAGTTTGCTATGCTCAAAACTAAAATTACTCATAGGCTTTTTATGACCCTGAAAGTTGGAGAACACTAATGCATTCTATGGAGACTGCAGCTGTACTGTCTTTATGCTGCAGCCTATTGACATCCATATCAAACTGTAAGAGCCGGTACCTGATGCTCCGTCCCAGCAGGCCTGTTTTACCGCTCCAACACAAGCATAAAATGTCCATCAAATCACTGCCAGTATTTCCCATATGTTTTGTCATGGCCATACAGCGGCAGCCAGAGTCCAGCGGCTCAATCTAACACTGTAATATTCAGCTTTTCTGTCCGGAAACAGCTCCCATCAAATCCTATACAAGTGGATTTTCACATTGTGTGTTCCCATTAGCACAGCTGACATTTGTGTATTGTGAAGCGAACTGTGCAGGTTTTTGTGAGGTAAGAAACAGTATTTTAGCTTTGTCACTATCGAATTGGTATAAATACTTAGTAGTAGTAGTTTATTTCTTCGGTCATTATGTACATTTGAACTTGTTTACTTATTTTTCCAAAGCGGGCCGTATTTTGACACGCCTGGCTTAAAATGTATATAAAGGTTTTCTCATCTTGAACACACACTAAACCGGCCCTTACCTTTTCTCAGACAAGGAGCTGTACTCGGCCACACTCAACAACTTCCTTGGAACGGAGCCAGTCATTCTGAGAAACCTGGGCCAGCAGCACTACAGCATGAAGAGCGAGTACCTCCCGGCCTGGCTTAACGGTGAGAAAAAAAAACAAATCCTACTCCAACATAGCTGCGGTAAGTATGTCAAGGGAAAGGTGAACCAAAACGGACCACACGATATGGCGGTTGGCCTAGAGCTGGGGGCACAGAGGTTAATTTTAAAACGAGTGGGGAGAGTAGATGTGTGCTAGTCAAATCCCCGGGCAAGAACAAAATGGGCAGCTACACAGATTGTATGGCAACAAGACGGGGCCAAATCACTGCCGTCGGGAAAAAAAAGTTTGGGTTTTTGTGTTGCTGTGGACAAATAGGGCAATGCGACCAGATTTACAATGGCTGCAGGAAGTCAGTGATGAGTTTATTTTTATGGAAATGTGGTCCTGTTTGGGAAAGCTAATGTATTCCCTACAGTGGTGAGCATACCGTCAAATTGGGGAAGCAGGACAGAAGCAATGACGCACAAGTAACCACTAGACATACAACCAATGTTTTTCTAGAGGAATCAAAATGGCTTGAATTCATGTACTATTTTTTTACTTTACTATTTTGGAGCATTTTTAACACAGTTTTTCATTTGGTGGTAAAAAAAAATCATATACTGTTTATTTTTTTTAACATTGATTACTGTTGATGAGGAAACAGAAACCAAATGTCTTGACAAAGGGTGCCCAAACTTTTGTCATCAAGGGCTATATATTTAACCAAGACCAAGCAGAGAGTTTCCCATCACATACTTTAAGGAAATCCTGTCAATTGTTAAAAAAAAAACAATAAATGACAAACATTTAGGTGTATTACAGGCCAAATATTAATGTAGAATGGATACAGGTAGAAATAAAAATAAAACGTTTAAAAAAAATAAAAAAATCTTTGGGGGTCTGTGATTTTTTTAAGGCTTAAATTGTGAGTGTGAAGTCAATAGGAATCAAAGTGATTTGGAGAAAATGTCGAAGTTCCCTGTTGGGTTTCATTGAGCTCCGGGGTTAGCATTGTCCATGTATTAACAATCTATGGTACAGTCCAAGCACCTATATTCAAACTGCAAATACCAACTTTTTCCCATTACTTTATTCAGTGGCAGGCTTTCTCATTGCTTACATCTGTTGTCAAAACTTTCTTTGCCAAATTGAGCAAAACTGAGTCCCTAAAGTGTGGACACATGGGGTGTACACGAGGACTGTGACCCATGTGTCTCCAGCCTGCTGTTCGTACATATCCCAGAACAGTGCAAGACATTAGCATTCACAATTAGTCATGCTTTGCCCCATCTTAAAACTACTCAAAACCACCAGAAAATTCCACTTTTATTTCTAAATATCAGATTTAATTTCATTTCAAATGTCCCCCCAAAGCTGATAAGTTGAATTGCCCATAGTGGTCACCAAACTGTCTCCAAACATGTTCATAATGCCAGTTTTTGAATATTTTCTTGATAGTTAGGTGTTTGCACAAAGAAATGCACTGTCCATATTTCGATAATTAGATTTTCAATTGTCTCCTTGACAGACTTGTCACACCTTCTCACAGAGCAAGTTGTAATATATTTTCAAATAATAGAAATCACATTAGGGTGAAGAACTGTGCAGGCTTCTTTTTATAGAAATGTAATTAAAATAGGAAAAAAACAACTCACAAACGCAAGAAAAGAATGAGTGCTGTGTGCATGCTTCACCAAACTTATGACCAGTAAAAACATATATATAAGTACTACTATTTACAGTATGTACTCTTTTGCATATTCCACTCCTTAAAGCATGCCAGGGCAGGCTGATGTTGGCCCCTCTGCAACCAGCCAGACTTTTCCAAATGCCAAAATATAGTCCCATGTTTAACTGCCAAAAAATAATCCATAATACAAGTTTCTTATTCAAAATGCATTTATTTTTTTTATTTTTTTACTGAATTTGACACATATGAAGCAATAGTGATGTCGCTGGGGCACGTGTGGATTGGTGTGTTGTGTAGGTAGGTTTGCTTTGTCTGAGCCATTAAAGCTCTCTCTGGCCAAGTATGATTGATTTTTTAATTCATATGTGGATAACTGATTGACTTGTTCCAGCTCTTCTTTGTAAGGTTTTCATACTGCACTAAACCTGAATGGACTGAAGGAAATAATTGAGGATTTGAATTAAAATGAGAAAACGGAGATACGCTGCATATGTGAGCGATAAGCAAAATTATTATTCATGACCGAACAAGCTGGACCCACAGCCACAAGTCTTCTCTCCGCACACTGGGCAGACTGAAGTATAGGTGGGTTTTATTTAAAATTAGGGTTAAACTGTGATTTCTAGGGCAGCCCTGTTGTCCAGTCAGCAGAGTCCCAGGCTGTCTGTGAGCAGCATTATGCAAACACAAGCATTTTTACCCAAGGAGGACGAATGAAGGAGAGATGCCAAATGATAGCGGCAGCAATCTGTTTTATATACGGTCAAACGCTGAGAGCAGAGAATTATCATTATTATGGAGTAAATGTCTTATTTTGATTCCTGTGTTGCAGCTAATTAAGTTTTAAATGTATACTAAAGGGAAGGAGTTTATTTTTTTTAGCTTCTGCCTCGATGTTTTTCCGACTTTATTTTGTATCTTGTAGAAGTGCGTGAAAATTAATCAAACTGAAAATGAGGTTCAATATTTATTATTTTACAGCTTGGGGCTTGTTCACACTTGTTGGTCTGGTTCAAGTTTTCCAATCAGAAGGCATTGTTTTGGTCGTCGCTTATGGCTTACATAAGAATGTACAAAGTCGGTATGAAAATTTAAAAAAGAGAGAGCGCTAACCAAGGATTTTTAAAGAATGACAACGGTTACTGAGCTAGAGGATTTTTACTTTTCAATGTTTCGATGTGAGTTTAAGCATATCTTCGTCCGAGCACTTCCCTATTGGGCTTTATTGAGCTGGAGGGTTACCCATTTCCATCTATATACAAAATTGTATGGATGAGGGACCCATGTTGTAACGTGGTTAAAAACTCAGATTTTCAGGTTCATTGTTTAGTGTGAGAGATTTGACCCAAGAGGAACTCATTTTATCATTCTATATGGTTCTATCTTTATCTATTGGAGATGTGAGGTCTATTTGTTGATATGACTGAAAAAGACACATGACATTCAGAACTTATCAACGCACATAGGCTTCAATCTGCCGTCATAGTTATCAGCAAACGAATGATAATAAAAGCCATATCGTCTATCTCCCCAGTTTCGTCAATTATCCTGTTGAAATTGTACATTTTTCAAACGTCGTCGGAAGTTTTTATCTCCAAAAGTACATCCTGTCCGAGAGAAGATAGATCCCCTGAAAATCCTTTCAATCTATTCAAATCCATCCCAAAAAAGCGTAATATTTCTTTCGCTAACTCTAACAGTTTGGATTAATGAGAATTCGGAGGATGATGGAGGTGTGGATCTCAAATGGACCATTATGATTATCCCCAGAGAGGGAGGGGAGTGGAGCTGGGGTTATGCGCCAAAAGAGAGAGGGGAGAGAGGGGAGAGAGGGGAGAGATGGGGAGAGGGGGGAGATGGGGAATGTGGAAGAGGTGAGAAGTGGCTGCTTGGTCCGGGTGTTGGTTTGCAGAGAGAGGAGTGTGAAAAGACCCCCCGGCAAATACTGCTGTGCCTCATTCAATGTGATGTATGCCTCAAAGTATCAATGTTTTTATGTAATAGATTGAAACGGTTGAACGGTCAAAAAATGTATATGTGTGGTATCAAAACGGCAAAAACTGAATAAAAACATAAGTACTTACCATGAGAACATCAAACCACACAAAAAATTCAAGTTCCTCGCTCTCAAAACACTTCAACCAGTTGCATGTATTTGTATCTGTCGCAGTTTGTCTGGTCTATAATACATAGATCAATTAATTACAAACATTTACAAAATATACTATTTCATGTATATATTGTTTACTAACCATTATTTAACCACGAAAAGTCGCATTGCACAATCTCTTTTTCAGTTTTTAGCGGTAAGTGGAAACCGGAGCACCCAGAGGAAACTTAGGCAGCCATGGGGAGAATATACAGAGAACTCCACACATAACAGAAAGGCCTGGAGGTGGAATTGAAACCTCTTTAAACTGTATATTAGTAACAGGCAAACACCATTGAAGTTTAATACCATTTCAAGCAAAGAAAAATTATGACAAAAGTTACACATTGCACCTTTTAAAGTTTGTTCATGTCAAAAAATACATGTTTTTCTGATGTGGTTACAGAGCCAGACTTCGTGGGCTCGGCGCTGGTCAGAGAAGGCCTGGGCAGTAAAGACGGAGACGACGATAAGATTTACTTCTTCTTCAGTGAACGCGCTCTGGAGCTGGACTGTGACACGGAGCTCACGGTGGCCCGGGTGGCTCGGGTCTGCAAGGTGAAATATGGCTCTCATTCTCATTACCACAGCACTTACACTAGTCTGACTCTAATACTGCCCATTATGGAAACCTGTGTTTGCTCATATCGATTTCAAAGGACTAAAAAAACAGTAGCTCATGGATCAATGGATGAACAACTAAGCATCATTTAAATATCAGTAAATTGCAACCTCTGTTTTGGTTGATCTCAATTAATAACACATACATTTTGTTCCATCTCCAGCTTACTTTTTATACAGCTAACAAATAAGGTAACAGATAACAACAATAGTTTTCACTGTTATTTTTGGACACATTTTCTCCCTTCGTTTTGTGTCTTGTGTTTTTGTCCAGTTCATTTTGAGTTTTATACATGGGAAAAAATCTAGATCAATCATTATGGAGATAAAAGAAACCCAGCCCTCTACCCTCAAACAAATGACATGAAATGGATTCTCATGCCAATCCCTGTCTTCACTTTGAGATGGAATCTAAATTGATATTCATGAGCTCATATGAACACAATTTTATGGAGAGAATAGTATTTTTCATTGTTTATGCATCACCATATGACCATTTCTCTCGGCTCACTTGAGTTAATATGAGTTTTTTCAGTGCCTGCTTTTGTACCGATAGAAGCTTAAAGCTGGGGTACCCGACTTTCCAACCACAAAATAATCATATAATCAAAATAATCTGTGTTTTATTGCTTTTGGATCTATGACATGTATGTATTCTTCAACCTCTTTTTTGACGGGTGAAACTCAAGTAATTAGAATATCGTCCAAAAGTTAATATAATTCTGTAACTTAACTTTTGTACGACATAGACTTATTACATGCAACGTGACATATGCCTTTGTTATCATTTTGTTGATTATGGCTTACTGCCCATTTTCAAACAATTCCAATTGTTTAGATTTTCACCTGTGTATAAATATAAAGGCTTTTGTTCAGTCTAAACCGATTTGCATTTTGGCACATTCCAGCTAAAATCACGGAAGCCCACTCGCGTCTGTTATTAGAGTCTCCAGCTGTTTTTGGCACCTGCTTCATAATGCTTTTGAACATTTAGCTCTATAAAAGGATCACAGCTGCAATTTTACACACTGAACTAAAGACATTTCTACAGTAATGAATTTTAACGCCACACATTATTCCAGGTCAGATTCTTCCTGCTTTCCTTCTTAACATGGCGTTTGTTTGTGTCTTCGCTGACCAAATTGATTATAGGCATTACCCGGAAAAACCTAGCCTTGTCTTTGATTTTCACTGAGCCGCAGAAATAATGAAATGCATTGAAGAGGGTGCGAATTCAGCAAATGTTAGTGCTTCAGCTAACGGCACACACTTTAAAATGACTGCGGCTTGCTCTCTCCAACAGAAAGTAACCAGTACTTTTTTGTGGAATTGAAGGTGCACTATAAGTAAAATGTATTATAAATTGCAGCACTTTCTAATAATAATATGTTTTTTTTTTAAGTTTTTGAATCCATTACTGACCCAAGAAAAAGAGCTTGGAATGTATAATAGTTAATATGGCAGGGGATCACACAGTTTAGTGGATCAGGTAAATAGAAATATATTTTCAGATAGTATTCTAACACTGCCAAAACAGCATGTAGAAGTTAAATGGTATTTATTATTACTTGAGGTAATATATCTCTCTATCATAGTAAACTTGACTTGAAGAATATAGATCGTATGTTGTACTCAAATTGTCTACTTTACTCAAATTAAAGCTGGGGTACCTCACTTTCAAACCACAAAATATGGAACTATGAATCCGTCTAACTCTCTCCTCGCTCTCATAATACAATTTTCACATGTATTTTTGGCCTCTGTCACATAAATCAGTTTTTTTTTTTTTACAGAAATGTGAAAAAGAGAGGCCCACCCTCACTCAGCCAATCAGCTTTCAGCCCCTAAGCGGCAAATAGTGTTATTTCTTACACATATGCAAAAAGGGAACATTTTACTTTACAAAACTCTATTGTTGGGACAAATATCAGTTTGGCTTTGAGTTGATTGGCTGAGTTAGAATGGTTTCCTCTTTTCCACATTCTGTCTGAACAAAAGATGAAGAGATCCTTTTTTCGTCCCAAATGTCAGGGTTGCATCACCTGTAGGAATGAGTAGCACACAGCACAAGATAAAGATAAATGAATCATAACTCCTTACTAAATAAAATAAAATAAAAAAAACTCTAGCATGAAGAAGAAACAAGTATAAAATCTCCACCTTTGGCATAATAAGAAGCAAAAGCGGATCTAAATATGCGACAGGGGCTAAAAATACATGCATGTTGTTCAATACGGTGGATTTTGATGCATTACCATTTTTTGTTGTTTGAAAATTAGGCACCGCAGCTTAAACTCCTACATGTATTGTTTTTGGCAGGGGGCGCCTCTCCTTCATATCATGACAGTATAAACTTTCAATCCAAAGACAGCTTTGAGAAAACAAAGGCTTTCGTTTACAGGAAGTGCCATTTACGGCCGTCCCTGTGATCAACAAAAAGCGTGGATGAAATGAAGACCAGATGCTCAAACTTGTTCCACTCCGGTGTCGTGAATTATTCAGCGCCCCCTGCAGATACCGCCACTCCAGAGGCCATTTGCACTCTTTTAATATATTTCTCTGTGTTCACTGAGGCTAATAAGATGTAAGAGCCAAATTTATTATACAGTATAAAAGGTATTTATTATTACTTGAGGTTGGGGGCTGTATGTATTATTCAAAATGGTATTACTTGGGAAAATATCCAGTTAGATTTAAGACATTAATCATCTCAGGGGTTGTAAGGGTTTTATACTGCGTCCCAAAGGCTATGGTCCAGATAACTTTCTCGCTACTGCAACATCCTCATGGGCACACTCCCTGAACTGTGCTAGTACAATACTTTCTGTGCGTTTTCCCTTCCATTATAGAGAATAAACATTAACGCAACCTCTGAAATCCTTCAAGAAGTGTCCTCATTCACTGATTATTTTGTGTCTATTTAGCTAATTATTGGTTTTATCGTGTTGGAGCTATTTGTTTTGCTTCTGTGTGTTAAATATACACCACACTATCTACTATACCATCACTGACTATTATGACTGAAACATACAAAAAAGTTCTGAAGCCACTGCTATGTTTAATACTAGCTCTCTGCCAATGCCTTTACGACTAAATAAATTATACATTTTGTTTGTCTCAACAGAAAATATTTTGTAAAAGTAAAATGTTGTGAACGAATCAGACCACAACATGCTGCCTTTATCTTCTTAGAACATGTTTGTATCTTCTGCATACATAAAAGAAAGAGCCCTGTGGGTCACTGGTTGACTCTTTGGGCTGAGAGCTGATTGGCTGAGTGATGGTGATCTCCTTATTTCACTTTAAGATGTGACTGAGGTTAAAAATACATGCATGTGAAAACTAGAACTGTTTTTGAGAGCGAGAAACGTTAAATATGTGTTGATTGAAAATTAGGTACCCCAGCTTTAACTTGTATTACAAACCTAAATCTCACTGTAAATGATTCAATGATTCTTCCATTCTTTAAGACCAAAAACATATAAGCAGTGTTAAAACATGTTTTATTCGATAATGCACACATTTGTCTCCATTATAATTATTCCAGATTTGTACGTTTGCTTTACACATATTCATGTGTAAATGATTCTTAAGAGGCTTTGGCAGCCAGTGCAGTGCCAGCTCTGAAGCAGCATAAATATACATATATATATATAAATACACACAGAGCTCAGTCATGTTATCTCCACACAGGCACTGAATCCAGCCCTAATATTATAGCATGGAGCAGTAATAGCAGCTAAGCCCCCGAGAATATAATATTTAACACACTCCAAAGCACACTGCTCCCAGAGGTTCATGTTATAGTACCCACAGTGGAAAATACATAGCAATTGTACAAACGCAAAATAGCTGTAAATGAATAGGAGAAAGTTGGGCTTGAGACACGCAGACATATATAGGCAAAGGAACCTTTTTTTTCAGACAGAAAACAGACCTTGTTTTAAGATCCAGAACTTGTAACTCCACCCCTTCTGTCTAAAGCTAATGTCTCAGCCATGAAAAAGTATGATGTAAAATTGTACGATTGTGATATCATGTTCAGAGCAGTTTTCTGACTTTTAAAACAAAATTATTGACCATAAATGAGTTTTGTCAATTTCTCAAGTGTAATTACATTCTTAACAATCACATGGCTGTAATTTGTAATCTACACCTCCCTCTGGTGGTCACATGAGGACAGAGCAAGCAATTATCATTATTTACCCTTAATATTTTTTTCACCATGTTTTTTTTCCACAGAAGATATTAGTTCACATTGTAAAACATAAAATGACAAAGTATAAAGTCTCATTATCAATGAATGGCCAAGAATAATGCATAGTATAATTATTCTTTAATACAATTTTTGTTGAATTGATCTTTATCTCAGTGACTTCCATAAATTAGAAAAAGTAACTTACGCAAAAAACAAAAAACCCATTAAGCACCGATCTGCTTCCACTCATGCAGATTAATTATAAACAAGCCAATTAAAACACCGCCATACATTTTGACAAGTGTTTTGTTTGAGTGCGCAGCTTCACATTAAGTATCCCATTCAAGAGCTTTCATTTAGATAAGACTCTTACACAGAGATAATTATGACATAGTTTTCCCCACATCGCGTTGCTTAACACGCTCTCCTCTGCACTCACAGGGCGACTTGGGAGGCACCAGGACTCTCCAGAAGAAGTGGACCACGTTTCAGAAAGCCCGGCTGGAGTGCTCGCTTCCAGAACGCCACGTCTCATTTAACAACCTGCGGGCCGTCTTCACTTTGCCGGGACAGGACTGGAGAGGGACCACGTTCTACGGCATCTTCCACGCACAATGGTCAGTGAATGTAGCCCTCGTGATTCTGTTGATACTTAACACGGCAGATATTGTGTCCCTGCTATACACTTGTATCACTTTTTACTGCTGCTGCTACTGCCACACTCAAGAGTATGGTAATTTACGACTAATACTCCTTCTGGATAGAATTCATCAACAATTTTGAGTAGTATGGATCTTTTATAACACTCGAAGCGCCTGTGGTTGAAGTTGAACTCATCATTCTAACAGTATGCAGGACACAGTGATTTTCCACATGAACGTTTTGGTTATCAGAAGGCCAAAGCTACTGACACCGTGGTAATTGCTGATTGGAGCGTCTCCATTCCTCCATGCGTTAATCTCACATCCCTGCTGTAAAATTCATGTTCGTCGACATTAAAACCATGTCTTCTTCAACAGTAGACTAACCAAACATCCATCCATCCATTTTTCTTCAGCAGTCTAAGCAGAGCTACAACATTTTCACTCAACGTGTAGACGCACTTCGAATCTAGAGTGGGATCATTTTTGCGATTTGCTTGGTCGCGTCTCCGTGTAAACAGGCCCTGGCCAGACTGCCGACATAAGGGGTTGGCAAGAATTCTGGATTTTTATTCACGGCAATGTAGCACTTACCACTGTGTTATTGATTGTATATGTGTTTCTAAGGGACACCTGGATGAATGCTAAATAATTCAAGCGGGTTTCCAAAGAGCGGCCTCATAGAGCTTGAATCACTGAAATGTTTCTCTCAAGTGAACCAAGTAAACACATTCAATCTGTAAGACTGCTTTTTATTTGGTAGCATCAATATCGCTTCTGCAATTATAACTTGCTTTAAACAGAATGATAAATGAGTTAGCTGTGCATTTAGTCACATCTTCTTTGAGATTTGGGAATTTTCTATGATAGACATCGATAGTCTGATTGATTGAAGTTATAATGTCAAAATAAGTTGGGATTTAACTGAAATAAAATTAATGACAATTAAATGCTCTATACATTTTGAAATGGAGGAAGGATCTCTGCATGTGCTATGTTCTCAGCTGGACCCTATTATTCCAGTTCCTTCTAAACATGTGACAGAGGCCAAAAATACATGCATGTAAAAACTAGTGATAAAACCAATGCGTTTTAAGAGCAAGGAACTAGTTACATGGATTTTTTTACATTATCATTTGTCTCTGATTTCAAAGTTAGATCCTCCATCTTTCATGCAATTTCTCTGCAGTCGTCAATTCAATCCAATTCAATCTATTTTTGTATAGCCCTTAATCACAACAGTAATTATCTCAGAGGACTTATCAAAATCGTTGAATGCGCCAACACAGATCAGAGAATCATCAGTTCAACACAACAAATGCAATTATGTGGGCGGTACGGTGGCTGAGTGGTTGGCACTCTCGCTTCTCCGCAAGAAGGTCCTGGGTTCGAATTCCTGTCAGAACAGGGCCTTTCTGAGTGGAGTTTGCATGTTCTCCCCGTGTCTGCGTAGGTTTCCTCTGGGTGCTCCGGTTTCCCCTACCACTAAAAACATGCACAATAGGTCTGAATGTAATGAGAGAGTGAATGGATGGTGTTGATTGGGGGCTTTGAAGCACCAGAGTGATCGGCGATTCTCTTCCCTCATCACCGTGTGTGGAATGATTGGAATATTATCTGGAATCTGAGCATTGTAAAGCGCTTTGGGTGACCTTGGTCTGTAAAATGCGCTATATAAATAAACATTACTTACTCATTTACTATGATAAAAAACACATAGAGCCATTGGTCCATAAGTGGCAGATGACCAATGCCCATAAGTGTTGATAAATGTCCATACATGTTGTTGAGTGTCCTGGATCATCACCGCTGTGTCCACACATTGAGCCACAGTTTTTTGTAAGGAATGAGTTATGTAAAAAAAATATATATATATCAGGAATTAAATACAGTGCAAATTTACGATAACAACTCCACTACATACTGACAGGTGTATGTTTGGTTTCAGTTCCAGAAGTGCAGTGTCTGAAACCAGTCACCTTTGATGCCTGTCCGTTGTGCTCCTCTCCTGAGACCCCACATCACTTATGTCAAGCTGCTTTGAACTTCCTGTTTTCTTTCTCCAGTCACACTACTCATAGTCTTTCTTTAAAACCCTTTCTTCTCCGCTCACGACTCACTGGGGACTGCCTAAAACCCCCGGGCTTTGATAGAGATCACATTAAGATAATTGGACATTATGCAAATGAAGCGACAGTGGAAGCAATAATCCGGCGGAGTGGTCTTGAAACCCCGCTCCACGTCGGCCCAGACCCTTTGACGAGAGTCTGGTGAAACGGATCAGCTCAATCATTTCTCCAGTAAAGTGCTTTCATAGAATGCGTGGACGTGCTGGTAAAATGAATAGACGTGACCTTTTTCAGAGAGTGTATCGAAAAGACATGTTTATTGCATTAAAGAGTGAATTTGAATCATCAACAAATGTAAAGGATTCATTTTATTTTATTCAAGGTTTTCTTCAGCGAGATCCATTTGTGCATTTAAGTATGTGTAATTATAGTGATTCTCAGACCGTGGTAATTCCGCCTCTGATTTTACGCAGTTTATGAGATTGGTAAATATTTGTTGTTGTTGTTGTGTGGATTACGGGGTGTGTAAAGTTTAGACCTGCTCTTGTTCAGGTCTGTAGCTAGGTACTTTGGAGACATGTGTGTATGATTCTTTTGCTCCTTTTTACAAGATGTTATTTCACAAGGGGACGAGGCTTTGGCATTCTAGAGATCTGACTTTTGATAATTACCACAGTTAGTTATGTACCAGGAAAGATGCTTCAGCTGCCCTCCCACCGCAATCTTAAAGTAAAGGCTGTTTGGAATGTTATGATGTCACATGTACACAAACTTGTCCGTCCACATCGGAAACAAGCTGTCAACAATGGCAAAAGGAAATTAACCCCAAGTGCAGAACTGCAAAAATAACAGCCCTTTATTTAACCAGGAAAATCCCATTGAGAGTAAGAACCTCTTTTTCAAGGTAGTCCTGGACAAAAGTTACACACAATTACATACTACTATCATTATGAAAACAGTTACATGTCAAAGAGGATGTCTCAAGTGCTCTCATTCTGGATTTAAAAGCTTTAAAAAAAATGTAAAACATCACAAAATCCAGAGTAAACACAAAAAGTAACCAAATAGCTGAGTTACGACGAGAACCAAAACAGACGTAGGATGACATTGACGGAACAGGAAGTGAAGAAGCACTCAGGTGTTAAAGATGCAAGACTAACGAGACACAGGTGATGAGGGCGGGGCAGGTAATCAGGAAACAGGAAGTACAACTGAAGAGGACATATGGTCAGCGCTAGATCATATACGGAATCGGGACGGATGCGGACGTAAATATAACCAACTACGTATTCTTGCCTAAACTTAACCAGCCATTCCCAAAGAATAACCCCAACCCACCCTTAACCCTAACCTTAACCATCTTACTCAGACCACCTTAACCCTAACCTTAACCATCTTACTCAGACCACCTTAACCCTAACCTTAACCATCTTACTCAGACCACCTTAACTCTAACCTTAACCATCTTACTCAGACCACCTTAACTCTAACCTTAACCATCTTACTCAGACCACCTTAACTCTAACCTTAACCATCTTACTCAGACCACCTTAACTCTAACCTTAACCATCTTACTCAGACACCAAAAAATTAACCAGTCACCATTTCAGGACTTATTAGTCTAAAACTAATTCGAAAGTAGGATTGTTACTTCCGGTTTCGTCCCAATTCCGTGTATGATCTAGTGCCGACCGAAGACACAGGGGTTAACAAATTACAAAATAAAATAACACTAAACCATGACACAAGCAGGAAAGCTGATCCAATGAAAGGATTGAAAACATTACATTTACTTGAGTTTTATATCATACTGAGGTACATTCCATTAAAATAATTATCATCTCCAATCCAACCCCATCAGAAAAGTTTTACAATACTCTATTTAAATTATAAAACGGTAATCCAGGATCTGAAAGCGTAAGAGCAATCACCTGTGGAGCAACGAGCAAAGTGTATCTTTGATAAAAGAATAGACATAAAAAGTAAAGCAATTTAAATCATTAGCCGGTGAAGATGTTTGATCTTTATTTGAAATGAGTCTAAATGTCTTTTCTCAGACCATTTAGGGTTTACTCAGTCAGTAATTAAAAAATAACATTTCATTCCTTGAAGGAAGTTTTCATTGAATTTATTTTGCCGCTAACAGCCAAAAGTATGTGTCTTAATCCTGCTTCTCAGTCACACATCAATACTTAATTTCACTCCCTACTTGAAAAACCTCTCCAGCTCCCAAAGTAGCCATTAAATCAAAGTGAATATCCTGATTTGCAGCTATAATAGATTTTGAATGAGTGTGTGTCATTGGAGTGGATAATTGAACAACCCCAGAACAGAACGGACGTCTAATGGTGTGTGCCATAAATGTACATGTAAGTAAATACTACACTGTCACTTAAATGACTTATGCATGTTCTCTTTGTTGTGTCCGCAGGGGGGATGTGGACGTGTCAGCCGTGTGCCAGTACCAGGTCAATGATGTGAAGAAAGTTTTCGAAGGCTCCTATAAAGAATACAGAGAGGCGTCGCAGAGGTGGGGCCGCTACACTGGAGCTGTGCCCAACCCACGCCCTGGATCGGTGAGACACGTTCAATCACCACATGGTTATCTCGGGGGGTTTCACAAAGTTGTCGAATCGCCATCAACAGATCAGAGAACCAAACAGTTCGAACGTAGGAAATGCAATGCAATAATAGTAATAATAATAATACATTTTGTTTAAAAGCGCCTTTTCAAAGCAGCCAAGGACACTGTACGAACATGAAAACAGAGTGCAATTAAAGACATTAGCATTATTAAAAAGAAAAACACCAGAACTGGACGAAGGTGTTGGGGTGACTGGTCAAAGAAAGTCTGAAATAGTTTTATGTCTGAATTTGAACGGGGAAGAGAGTCGGTTTTGTGGAGGTCAGGGGGGAGTGTCACAACAGCTCTAGCACCAGCGTATTCAGAAAGAAAAGTGAAAAAGACAGGGCCCCCCTCACTCAGCCAATCAGCACTCAGTATGTCCAAGCTAAGATACATCCTAATACAATATGCATTTAGTGGTTTGATTTGTACACAGAATGTTGCTTAACCACAACTCTTCCTGTTGGGACAAACACAATGTATTTTAAAACTAAATAAATAGTTCCGTTGGATATTATGGCATTTCTTGTGATTTCAGAATAATATCATCTTTCCCTCTAATATATTAGATATTATGGACTTTTACAAGTTGGAATTCTGCACTCCAGCCCCCATGTATCCGGTTTGAGACACTCATAGTAAAACTGCACTCTCTAAAATCCACAATAACCTGCCTCTTCAGCAAATGAGCACAAATGGGAACAAAATGAGAACGCTTTCAAATTGTGCAAAGATTACCATTTTAGATTTCCCCGCACCTGCGCTGCTACGCATCAGTAGTCAGCTTTTGGCAGAGCGATCCGGCAACGGGGAAGTGTTGGATGTGGCGAACAATTGGATTTGGCTCTAAACAAAAAAAACTGAGATCCAACATGCGAGTAAAAAAGTTACAAAAGAGAGAGAGGGAGACGGGTAGAACATGGAGACGATGTGCAAATGCTGAGACAAATGATTGTATCTGTCTATTTGGGTGCAGTGGGTTCAATTCCACCTCCAGACCTTTCTGTGTGGAGTTTGCATGTTCTCCTTGTGTCTGTGTCGGTTTCTTCTATGTTCTCCGGTTTCCCTTACCACTAAAAACTCCTAAAAACTGTACACTAGTCTCCCATAGACCTCCTCCCCGACCTCACTCCCATCTCCTCTCTCTGAGGAAAGGACTCCCCTGAAAAAGAGATTATGCAGTGGGATTGTTCAAGGTCAATTAATAAATAAATTATATGTAAAGTTCTAGATGCACTTGTTTTTCACTATCCTCCTGAAAAAGAGCCTTATTTTGCTTGGTTCCATGGATGTGCTCTTTCTTTGACCCTAACCCAATCCAATTTACTTTATTTATATAGCACATTTGATTAAGCACAGCAATTCAACTGTAAAAATGCACAGTTATTGTCTTCCAAGTCTGCCAGATATAATTAAAAACTAAACTTCTTAAAAGATTTGAAAGAAAAAAAGAGACTATACAATTGCAACACAAAAACATCCATCCATCTATTCATCCATATATTCTTATATATATATATATATATATATATTCTTCCTCTTCATCCGTTGCTGGGTCGCGGGGGCAGCAGTCTAAGCAGAGACGCCCAGACTTCCCTATCCTCACACACTTCCTCCAGCTCGTGCAGCGGGACCCCAAGGCGTTCCCAGGCCAGCTGAGAGACATAGTCCCTCCAGCGTGTCCTGGGTCTTCCCTGGGGACAGAAAAAGATTAGGATAATAAAATAAAATAAATGTTAATACATCAAACACAGAGGACCACACAATTCACACAGTGCTAAAAATCAGAAAATACAATACTTCTGACAATGCTTCACAAGATGGCCAGACAGATCCTTCCATATCTCCATCTACAAGTGCTTTTAACTTAGTTTGTTCTTTACTTCTGAAAATCAATCAATCTCACCAAAGAAAAGATCATCTGTACTGCTACTTTTTGCCTTGTGTCACTTCAGATAACTCACAGACAGCATATGTACTTGTAAAGCCCGATGCAGGCTTGTCAACGTCTCTCAAAGCGCTGCACTGAAGTCACTTTTCATTCACTCCTCACTCAGTGGCGACAGAAGCGACGCTGCCAATCTGTATCCTCAGTCCACCGCACACTCACTCGTTCATTCATATTCTGTGCTTTGAGTTCTGTGAAAGTACAGCAGAGTATAATCCAGACAAACCATCATGGAGACAAGTAAGCAAGTGGCTGATCCCCTCTACAAATATGCACTCAGGTGTTGCTATCCTCAGGCTGCATCTGTTCCAATCCTGCATTCTATACTTCCATTCATGATGTAACTTTCTGCTAAAGCTGGGATGTCTAACTTTAAAACCACAAATGATAAGTTTGGTTCCATCAGTAGTCTTTTTCAGTCTAAAGCATCAAAAAGTGACTCACAAGTTCAGTCCAATAGTCAGTTCAATAGTCATCAATAGTAGTAATCTCGAAGGACTGAACACTTGTCAATTCTCCATCACAGATCATAACATAACAAATACATAGAAGCTACTGGTCCATGAGGGTCATAAATGTTATTACATGTGTGCAGACCCTATAATAAAAAAAATCTATCTATCCATCTACAAGTATGCAAAAGGCAGCGTGTTGTGGTCTGATTTGTTCACAACATTTTGCTCTTACAAGTCTGCCCAGCTTTAAACCACATTGAGCAGTTAAAAAAAAGTCGGGGAAACCTTGCCAGAAGCCAATAGTCGATGTCCAAACTGCTTCCTAGGTTCTCCTTACCTCTGTTCATTCATATTCAACAGCCTTGACGCTCTACATTCTGTCTTTTAGTGTATCACAAACTCTGACCGGGAGAACGGATACAACAGTTCCCTGCAGCTGCCAGACGCCACGCTCAACTTTGCCAAAAAGCACCCGCTGATGGAGGACAAGGCTCTGGCACGCCCCCTGCTGCTCACAAAGGGCGTCAACTTCACCAAACTGGCCGTGGACCGGGTCAACGCACTGGACCAGCGCGCGTACAACATGCTCTTCATCGGAACAGGTACTAGTCTGTTTGAGAGATATTTAGAAAACTGGATACTTTGAAGAGCCATTAGCAGTGTTGTATTTGTTATAGTTGCGTCTTTTCCCATTTGGTGTTGTATGTTTAGATAATTAATTTTCAATGCCACTGGTACATGGTAAATATAAAAAACAACTTTAATTAATGTATTTATTTTGCTGCTGCTATGTCAGTTGCCCTACTCCTACCTATTCCTTTTCAAATAATTGACATATGGTATTAACATTCAAAATAAACTTTACAAGATTCATAATAAAATATTCAATTGTACCATAGGTTTTGTTAGCTAAACTTGGCCAAAAACAACTGCCAACTTCTCAAATTTACTTTTAAGTTCATTTAATTCTGTTTGATTTGTTCCTTATGTTTTAATATTGAACTAATGGAAATAGCTTTTTGCAGAGAAAATTGAATTAGTTCCAAAATTGTGGATATTGTACAAATAATAATAGTATTGTGTATATAATAATAATATATAGTGACATCGCTTTGAGAACTTTTTTTTTTTTTTTTGCAAGACTGGACCATAAATAGTGTCAACAGCCCAAAGTAGACTTTACACACAAGAACAACAACAGTCATAGCCACAAGTTTATTTTGGCAGGAACATCCTCCACCGACCCGTCCCGTCACCCTCCTCCCTCGCTGTCCTCCTGACATTGCGGGCAGTATATTATTCAAGTGCACGTCGTCCCATATTTTTGTACTCTTCTGCCTCGTTCCTGTGTGTATGTGCGTGCATCTGTGTGTTCTCTGGGGAGGTGTGGTGCTGGACTGCCCTGGGAGACGAGGGCTTTTGGGGCATGGCAGCAGAGTGAGGCAGGTAGCTACATTAGCCAAGGTGGCGCAGAGCAACACGCCAGCTGGCCACGTTCGAGCATCTATTCAATTACGGACTTGATTTGCATGCTGATATCCGTCTTCATGCATCAGAGGGAACAGCTACATATGCACAGTTTAATTAATGCCTCTGCTCGCTGGCCATCGGCTGCAGGTGGCGCGTTTTGGCTCGGAGTAATAGAATAGCTTACATACATTTGTAGGGTATTTGTTTTGTTTATCATTATCATGTCATACGACTATTGTTGGGGAAGTGACAAACAATCAAGTCATCTCAATTATATAAGCCAGCAATTTTATAATGTAGTTTGCATCTCAAAAAAACTCTTTGTGAGACCGTGTGTGATTAACTTATACCTTTGACAGAACATTATATGAATGTGAGCCATTTGAAAACTGTCTTGAGGTTATTTATGTGTCCAAATTATTTTATACAAATACCTACACTATCCAGGATTCTTTGTACACAATAGCAGTTTTTTTTTTTTAAATGTAGTCTATGCTGTATTTGGAAAATTATATGTAATGGATTTTGTGTAAAGCTAATTTACTGGAACTAGACCCCAGTGGACTTGCTCTTGTTGAGACAGATGTGAGATTTGTTTTAGTGATGTCCCTGGAGAACATAGTTGAGATGACATGTAGTTGTTACACACCGGGTTGCCTGATCCAGAATATTATTCATTAAAGATTGTGTAAGCTCTCAGTCATACAAGGATTATTCATAACAAGGGAAGGTTGCTCACTCATCATCTGTCTCCATTAAGAATTATCAGAATCGTAAAACCTCTCCCCTGCCAGTTTTGTTTTTTATGGTTAAAAATAGAAATTAATCGATTACTAGATTAATTGACAACTAATTGCAATTCAATTCAAGTTAAAAGAATAATTGATTAAGTTGTTACAGCTTAATCAATTTAATCACGGCTTAACAATACAATCCAGGCTCTTCTGTAACTCTACCTGCCTGGCATCTTGATGTACTTTTTAATGTCATATTAGCAGTCAGATCTTGGATAACCCCACATTTACATTTACTAATATCCATCTTCTTACATCAGAGGAGGAAATCTAGGTTTGCTTAATTAATATATCTGCTGGCTGGCCACTGGCTTCTGCAGGTGTCCCTGTTTTGGCACCGCTCTGCAGTCTCTGTGTGCTCGCTTGTCCCTAATCCTGAATAACAGCGATCTGACAGTGGATTCCAGCACATTTAAATGCAGCCTGGCCTCATGAATAGCGAGACTAGAGCTACTTACAATTCAGATCAGCGCCGGCTCACCCACCTATTCCGTGGCAACTGACAGCGCCACGACAACTGCAAGAATGGGGGTCTTTTCTGCAACTATAGACACGAGTGCACGCACAAGTAGGCAACACGAGCTCCCACAGTGTTAACACAGCAACCCGCACACACGGCAAAAAAAAAAAGCACACGCATTTTTCAAATTGATATGCACACACACCGGCCGAGCCAAGTGCAGTCATCCCGGGCTCGGTCTCGCTCCACGGCCCAAACTCAACAGGGGCCCTTATTGGCAGACGAGGGAGCCTAGTGCCAATTGGGCTGCAGGCTTGATTAGCTATTAGCTGTGGCGTGGTGACAGCTGATGTGAGCGCAGAGAGAGACGGGAGTGAGTGCTTGTCGAGGCTGGTTTTGTGAGAATGCGTGATTGAAGGATTAGGCGCCATCGGTGTTTTGACTGGAGGTGCGGTGGCCGGGTCGCCCAGTGAAAAACGGTTCTAAATGGCTGCTATCATCGCTTGAATAACTTTGACCATGGTTATCGCGCTGAGCCAATTGCATTACATCAGGAGAGGTTTTTTTGTGTTGCACATTTCATACAGGAACTGAATTAGCTTTACAAGGAAAATATGTAAACAAAAACATATACAGTATATTACTGTAAGCAGTCTATCCTATGTTAGTTTCACATTGTAAATTGAATTACAGAAGTAAAAGGAATTTTGAAAGATGTTAAGGATTTTTGAGTTTCACCTGTGCATCAAAAAAACAAAGTGTTGTCTATTCTTGAGTGAGCTCAAGAATAAACAACACTTTTATTCAGCTTAGACTGAGCTTTCCATTTACAAGGAGCACAATGGGAGAAAGCCGTTTCTCCAATCTTCAATCTCACTCTGGGAACTGATAGAAAGATAGAAAAGATTGATACTTTATTGATCCCCGTAGGAGAAATTCACGTGTCCAGTAGCAGCAAAAATGAAAAATTAAATGGATAATTCTAAAAAGCTAACGATAGTAATAATCAGCAACAGCCCTTCAGGTCACAGCAGCAGAGGTGGAGAAGTCCCTGGGTGGAGCAGGACAGGTCAGAATGTGGAGTACAGGTAGTGTCTGGGTGGAGCAGGACAGGTCACAAGGTGGAGTACCCGCTTGGTTCGGACCATTTTCTCTGCTCTAGTCCAAAGTAAAATGCTAAATGCTTCATTAGCATTTTTCAAAAAGTTAGCTTCCTTCAGTGGATTTTCACCTGATCCGCTTGGTTCGGACCATGAATCCTCTCTGCTCTGGTCTGGACCAGTGTAAAACCATGAACACTGTACCGCAGCAACATCTCAGGTAGGAAAAAGCAAGAAAAATAAAAAATTGTAAAGCACAAAGCAACAACTGTTTCAGAGCTACTTAGGACTTGCTGCCGTTTTCCAGCGCATTCAAAAGTCCGACACATACGACGGCCTCAGACGGTTCCAGTGAAGGTGTCATGGTGTGGATTTTATTTTGGTACTCGGTTGTCTTTATTTACCTGTGTTCCTCTCCGTTTGGATTTTTTTCACCTTGGAAATGTATATTAGCATCTTCATTAAACCATTATTTTGTATTTTGAGTCCTCTTTCATCTCACCCCATGACAGGTGTAATATCAGATCTTTCTCTAGTTTGTGTCAAAACGCGACCTGCTGAGTCTTGAATAAGATGCATGTGCTGAGGTGTTAAAAATCCAATCTGTTTGTGACAAAACGTATTTCAACATTTTTGGTTGTTTCTAAGTGATGGAAATTATCTCTTGGCTGCAAACTGGAGAGGTGTGGTCATTAACATGCACTGTTCCAACCAAATAAACAATACAATATATAGCAATTATGTTTAAAACAAAGATGTCTGAGGCACTTCTCATTACTGAATATGGAGAATTTATTCATTCAAGTTGAAACTCGGTGAAGGAATATATTCTTATTATTCAGAGGCAATCAGAGCCTCTGACATCTTCTTTGTTTTATACAAATCTATTCCACATCCTGCTGCTGTTACTGCTGTGAGCCAGAGAACACTCCGGCATCTCCTCAGTAACTGTTTGAAGTTCATGATTTGTGTTGTAAATGAAAAAGAACTACTGGGCATGATTGAAATGTATGAAAGATTATAGCTGCTTGTTTTATTTTAATTGGAAGTTGAGTAGTTATTTATGAATATGTTATGTGTTATTTATACTTTATAGTAGGGATCTTCAAAAGAACTATTGCTATCTCTTAAGTTTTTCTATATACCCACTTCTTCTTAATAGATTAAATGTTATATTATAAGTAAGGAAACTCATGTGTGGTATGTGGGTCCCTTCCATAAAGAAACATCTATTAAAGGTTAAAAGAAAAAAAAGAAAGAAAAAATCCTTTCATGGACCCAAGACCTGTGTATGTTGTGTACTTAATAATAATATATATAGTCTTTCCTCTTGGCATAACTAGGATCAGTGAGATTGCGTGGAACCAAAAATGTCGACAAAGGACCTGATAGGTTTGAATTTATCTCGACCAATCAGGAAGGGGTGAGAATGGGCGGGTCTAACCAGGGCTTGTCTTCAAAAAGTTTTAACTCTTTCTTTATGAAATATGGTTACAACTTACCAGCTCGTGAAAGTTGATTTGACATAAATACATCTGTCTTTTTACTAGTAGTAGTTTGTCCCTGTCCATTTTGAAGTGTTGTGTTTATGAATGCCACGATTCAAGGATACAGGCTTGGAAAATAAAAAAATGCAAGTTTATGGTCACGAAGGCCGTAAAGACCCCACACAACCTCCTATAGCACTAGTACGTCTGCACATCAGCACTTTTACTATCTTCAGCTTGTGCGGTAAAATGTAGCATCACTTCATTATGCATGCTGCGCTCTTAATAGAGATGTGCCTATAAGAATTCACGTGTCAGCAGCAGGAGCTATGACTTCATAGATGCACTCTTTGAAAGCCACATGAAGGTCACCCCAGCACCTGTGTTGAAAATGCTCCGCAGCCAAATTAGTGCACCATGCCTTACATGAAAGCGCTGTGGATGTGTCCCCCTGCTCCTACCAGCACCATGCATAAAGAACAATGATGTCTGCCAGAGTTCCCCGGGTTCAAAACAGCAAAGGATATACTTTCCCCGGGGTTGTGAATCTTTTTAGGTGGTAGCTAGTCGATAGTGTGCAATGTAGCGTGCAACGTATAATCACGATTGCCTACGTTTAAACTAAACTAAAAAAGCAAGTAAAAAGACAGATGTGTCGGTTACTAGGCATTTCACTGTGTGTATGTGTACGTGTATGTGACAAATAAATATCTATCTATCTAAACTGAGGATTTTAAGAAGACATATGATGCATTGTCTTTGGCCGTTTTAATGAGACTATTTACTTTGTCATTTCATGTGTAAGAATGGGTATTATCAACTTCAATAGAAAATATATGCTGAAATAAGTAACGCCAACAGCCTGCCCTATCCCTATGCAACCACCAGAGAAAAAAATTCTCAAATTTGAAAATAACAATCTGTAAACACAGTCGTGTCATTTCTCCAGAGAGATTACCAAAACTAATTTATGGGCAAACTCCTCTGAGTGTGATGTCATAGTGGTAAGATGACATCATAGTATTACAGGACTGAGACAGGGGCTATTACACTGAGGGGGCGGAGTTACATGTTTGTGCAAGACGTTAGTGATATTAGCGCGGAGTGGAGGGATTGAAAAACAATGGCAGGTCTGTGACTGATGAGGTTTTTTAATATCAAAGGAGACATTCTTTTTAGCTTCTTACCATGTTACTACGTTACACACTGCGGAGAAACAGCAACCGTTCAAGACACTGTTAACTTATTCCACTTATCAAATAATAAATGATACAATATCCACATAATTAAAACAATTTCACATTCAAATACTTGAAAGGCCAAACTAAATATTGTCAAGATTGTACTAAAAGCCAAAATGAACACAAATAATGTAATATATTTGTTCTATATATAACTGCACAGACTTTAAATCACAAAGGAGAACAGTGAGAGACAAGTCTTTTATTGAGCGGAGAAGAAAGAGAATAAATATACAGGATTACTGAAACATGCATGAAAGAAACCATGTTTATCTTCAGAGATTTGTGTAGAAGCTTCCACAAGTTGGAATTCAATGATTCTAAGACTTGAAGGTATCTCTGCCAAGGCAAACTACAGAGCAACTATACTACTCCTAATACAAATACATTTCTGAGGGTATTTTTTGAGACATAAAAGCATCAGGAAGTAAAGGCACAGGTTTATTGACGTAGTGCTGAAAATAAGAACCAAGGAAACATCTCGGTGGATATAGTCGTATTCAGTCTTTTATCATGCAACCATTTGAGCGCTCAAAATGTCACCGTGATTGCTATGGCAAAAGCCCCAATTTTTCATCGTTCTAAACCCCCAAAAGTAGACCTTGTTATTATGCACTTCTATTTGAGATGTGGCTGCAAAATCATGACGACTCAGCATGTAAACCAAACCTATTGTTGAACAGATTCAAATAAAACATATAATTTGGGGTAAATTTTGCTGGGCATTTTCGAACATTGATTTCCCTGCATCAATACACCGGACCGAGAGTTGAAAATTATCAAATGCTTTTAACTCCACTCCTGTCAATGCTGAGCCAAGCGGTGATGATTTTAAGCCCCATCTCCACACAAATCTGCAGTTATCCGACCGTGTTTTAATGCAACAGCTGTTTTTTTTGTGCAACAGCGGAGGAAGCGCAGGTGTGATAGATGGCTTTCATTAACCCTTCTGGTTCTGAGCATCACTTACTTTAACTTCTATCAGACATCATTACAGGTTTTATCGCTCTTGCCTGCTGTGGTGTAGTGAATGGAGAGGATACACAATGTTCTGGCTTCAGCGGTCGTCCAGTGTAGCCTACAGCTTGAATTAACAATTTGAATTTCAATGAGCAAAGGCTGAACTTTGGTGCAATTTTTTATTTTTTTTCACACCATCATGAAGACAGCGCGCCAAAGGAAGTAACTGCAGAGGCGGCATCAAAGGCGTAGCATGTGTGTGGATTGTAATCGCATTATGAATAATAGAAGGGGCTCTTTGCGGTCACAAGTGTTTGTGCGTGTGTGCGTGTGTGTGTGTGTGTGTGTGTGTGTGTGAATACGGGAGAGTGCAATTACATTTTTAGTGATGCTGTTATGAGTTTACAAAGTATAAATATTTGAAGATGAGTGGGAACAAAGCAAAGGGTGTAATAGAGTCTTTAAGTCAGGGATTTATGAAAGATTTATACTTCACTTTGTTTGACCAATAATAAAAGTGCTTAGTCATGTTGGCCTGAAAACAAACTCAAAACATAATAATGCACCGGTTTTATATTGCGCTCTTTTGGACACTCCCTGGGGCACACCGACAGAAGTGAAGCAACTAAATTCATTCTAGGCAATGTGGGTTAAGTGTCTTGCCTAAGTACACAACAACAGTTTGACGTTATAGCCGACAGCTGTTCCCGGAGGTCACCCATCACAGTACTAACCAGGCTCTACCCTGCTTAGACTGTATCAGGTTTTCACATACAAGTGGCGCCACAAACATACCAGCTGGAGACTTCATGTTTGAGTAGGATTTCAGGTCGACATAGATTACATTAAGGGCAATCATTTTCATAATCATACAGATGTAAGAGAGTCTGAAATGTTTGTGGAAATCAGATAGAGGCTTGTGATGCTTTCAAAGACGTCTCGTAACTTCTCCTTTGCACTCAAACTTTGGAACAGTATTTATAATTTGGTCACAGCAAAAATAACTGGATTTTCACATCTCAATTGCATCACACAAGTTTACATGCGTCTTGCTCAATCAAACTGAATGAACCAAAGATTAAGACATATTAATTAAAGAAGCAAATCTGTTTCATGTAATTTTGGACTGTTTGATGATACAATAATATTAATCAGAAATTCACCAACTCTTTAACAATGTTTTCTCAATTTTCTTTGTTTACTGAATGTGTATTTACTGGCTACTAGTGGATCATTCATGTTGTAGAATTGATTATTTTGGGCAGGTGCCAATACAACTCAATCGGAAATATCTATCTTCCTTTTAAAAAATCCTTGTGTTTTCCCAAAGAAACAGAATGCCATTGTAATAATTACTGCGATAGGTAAGAAATAAGTAAATGGCTTGAACCCTCTAGCTATATTATAAAGTTTTATCTTATCTTACCATACACAAGATTTATTTTGCATGGTGCTGTAAAAATGGCGCCGTGGATATATTATACTGGTGCACACTGGGGGTAGTCTTGCACAGTTTTTCCAATGTGGTTTTACTGCAAATGGCCAATACATTTTTCTATCTTGTATTAGCTATACAGTGGAAAAGGTCTCATTTTAACAGACTATTTCAGTTTTTGTTTAGGTTTTTCAGACTTAAACTTTATCTTCAGTCATTGTCCTGTCTGTTGTTGTGTCTAAATCCATATATACGTGTGTTCCCTGTAGCGGAGGGTTGGCTGCAGCGTGTGGTCATCTTGAACTCCGAGGCCCATGTCATCGAGGAGATCCAGCTGTTTGAAACGCCTCAGCCAGTCGACACGCTCACCATCTCACATTCAAAGGTAAAAATACCACAGACACATTGATTTCCAACTTTTTTCTCTTTTGTTGCGGGTCCTTGAACATTAGTTAAATCTTTTCACACCCGCTGAGTTAGAGAAGAGTCTTACCTCAATGCCAAATTCCTCAATTAACCTTGCATGCTGCCTTTGTGTTCCCTGCCCAGCTATGTGTAAAAACTCGTTCCTTTTCTGTGGTTTTAAGATTGCATTTCTGTTTTGTCATGGCCATAGACATTTATCAAATCTACCAACCAGGCAATTTGTAAGTAATTATCACTTTTTCAGAGCTCCATTCTCCTCATGTGAGCACAGACAATCACTAATACAAATGAAATCCTTGGAAAGCGCTTTCAGACTCTTGCCGTGAGGTTGCGTCAGTGGTTCATTGGTATTTAGTCATCTAACAGTCATCCTTTGTCCCTAATACTCTTTTTGTCATTCAGGCTCAAAAGCACAAAACTTTTCATGTGTAATTTTACTTCTAAAAGACATATTATTGCGACACACTTTAATCGATGTTTTCTGCCAGAAGGTCAGACATTTAGTTTAGTCTTTATTTGAAAGGGACGGTCCACAGCAGCATTAAGCTCAAGGACCGGATTACAGCTACACAGCTAGTTTACATCTGCAGTCCGCGGTTACATGACATAATAAACACAATGAAATGCCAATAATAGGATTCTACAGTAGCAAATAATGAACCAGAAAATGTTAATCCTGTCTCGCTCTAGTTGTTTCTCTGGAAAGGCCCAGAAGGAAACAATCCCAAAAATGATCTCCCCGTACCACCAGTTGAGACCCGCTCTAGTGATAGTATATGATTACTTATAAATTTGATTATGGTAGGAAATCCTAAAAAAAAAACATCTTCTGTGTTCAAAACTTTCTAAATATTTCTCCCCTTATGTTTGTCCTTTTCCCCATCTGCAGAAATACTTGTACATCGGGTCGCGGTCTGAGGTGCTCCAGCTGCCTTTGGCAAACTGCAGCCGTTATCAGTCTCAGCCCGACTGCCTGCTGTCCCGGGACCCCTACTGCGCCTGGGACAGCGAGGGGCGCGCCTGTGTCCGCATCGACCTCCACAGAGGGTGAGTCCAGGGACACACTGTCATGAGCAGAGACACTGATCATTACTTTCTTTTGGGTCTTTATGAGTACGTTACAACAATATACCTTATGTTCAAACAATCATGCAGTATGTGAGATCTTAAGACATCCATGATTGACTAAAGATACAGTATATCTTTCTCATCAACTATTCATTAGTTAATTAAAAGACAATATGGAAACTAACTGCGTCCTCAAAAGACGATGTGATTATGCCAAAACTATTAAAGCTGGAATCCTTAACTTTGAAATCGCAGTAAATGACTCATGTAATAATAATAATATGTGGAAAGACGCATGTATTGCTGTCGTCTTTCCTATCCCAAGATAAACACAACAAACGTGTTTCTCTGTTGGAACTCTGTTGTATTTATGATTCTAAATAAAGTTAGGTTCTCCAGCCTCAATGCACAGCCTTAAGTACAAACTGAAGACAAAGCAAATTACACCTTCACATTTCATACGCAAAATGATACTTCCGTGAACTGTTTACCACTTTAATCATGGCTCACTTCCAAGTCCTTCCAAAAATGTATTCCCAAATAAAATCATTCTTTGTATTAAAAATTGAAGAGACCACCGGCTTATAGATTAACTCAACAACAAGGAACCTCAAGCCTTAAATTGTATCATGAAAAGTTAGATTTTACCCAGAAATCCTCTCACCTTTTATTTCAACATGCAATTTTCCCCAGTCTCGCACACTCCATAACGGCATATGGGAAATGCACTCAGCCGCAGTCCTTTAAAATCACTCCTGTTCTGAAATGGCTATATCTTTGTGAATATTTTGAGTTTTGCTATGGAAACATAAAGATGGTTTTGCTTGCAGACCACATTATTGAAATGCTTTTGTTCCCATGTAGGTCCACCTCGTCTCTGTCCCAGGATCTCTTTCTGGAGAGGTTCAGCCGAGGGAAAGCCAAGTTCGATAAGCCGGTGTCGATCCCCAGTCCTGGTGAGTAAAGGCAGCCACATCAGTGCTCTGGCTCCCTGGGAGAATTGCAAAAGCCACTTCACTCACTGCGAAGGAGAAAGAGAAGTGTTGAGTGAATACATTTAGATTGAGCTGAATAAATTGAATTAAGTGCAGAAAGCTGGCTGCGGCAGACTATGAATCCAAGCCGCAGTGGCTTACAAAGACAAAAAGAGATGAATAACCCAAGATTTTTTTCAATCCAATTGACAAACTAGATTCTGAAAATTAGGACCACGGCAAATCACGTTCTGTGATAGATTTTGTGCTCAGGTTGTGGATATGAAGAGAAAGATAGAAAATGAGAGGATGAGGAGTGTCTGGTGTGTATTTTAGTTTTTTTCAGCACGGAAGGCAAGAAACATTTTTTATATCCACAAATCAGACAAAAAGACAAAATCAGTCCCATAAGATAACTTTAATAAATTATACATTAACTTAATTTACTATAACATATTTAACATATTACAAGGATGTACAGTACATGCATCAGCAAATACACAATATGTACATGTTTTTTTGACCTGTCCTTGTGTTTGCAGAGCACTCCCGCCTCCGTAACATGACCGTGGTGGTGGGCTCGGACATGGTGCTGCCCTGTCAGCTGGTGTCCAACCTGGCTCAGCCCTGTTGGCTCTTCAACGATCGCGAGCTGCAGCTGGGCTCCCCGGAGGTCTCTGGAACGCGCTTCGACCGCACCCTCAAAGCCCTGGTGATCCCCGCTGCGGGACAGGCCCAGGCCGGACGATACGTGTGTTTCTCTGAGGAGCAGGGCGTCAAGTTCCAGACGGAGAGGTACCAGGTGGCGGTCGTGGCCAGCGCCCCTGTGTTCATGGAGGCGCGCGCTCCCGACAGCAGCATGGGACTGTTTTGGGTCCTGGTCATCACATTGGGAGCAGCCTGTCTGCTTCTGTTGATAGCGGCTCTGTACCTGCGCAGGAGGCTAAAGCTCGCACTAGGAAAAGGAGCAGACATGAAACCCTTAGAGAGCACGCTGGTGTATCCCATCACCCTCCCCAAAGAACCACCCACATTTGTGCCCAGTAAGATGCCCAGTGACGAGGACCGCTTCTGGGAGACAGGCGCTAACTACTACTACTCTGATGGCTCTTTGAAGATCGTCCCCGGTCATGCCCTCGGGCCTAGCAGTGTAAGCAGCACAGCGCCCCCCAGTGCCATCCCCGGGCAGCCCATCCACTCCCCCAGTCGACTCAGCCTCACCAACATCAGGGGCTCCGGCAGCAACGGTTACATCCGACTGAACCTGAGCTCGGCGGGGGAGGAGCGGGCTAGCGGGCCTGGCGCTGGGGGCGGCGGGCTGGCGGGCCTGGGGGGCATGACCGGGAATGACTACTCGAGCCCCTTTAAAGAGGAGCTGAGGCGCACACTGCAGCAGAGGAGTGTGCTGCCAGACGCTAATCCAGAGGAGTCGTCCGTGTAGGCCTGTCCTCCTCCGGCTTCAGTGTTTGTGTAGAAAGAAAAAGAACCAAACTACCTCCCTCGGCTCTGAGGACGCCTGCTCTCTCTCCTCGCGCTCACTCTCGCTCTGCCAATGCCTGCTGGACTCCTATAGCACACAGCATGTTTCCTATAGACTCATACATTGTGTTTGCAAACATGCATTCTAATTATCGTGTCACCGGGAACCATGCAGACCGCTGCTTCCACTGTGTACATTTGTATTTAAACTGAACGAGAGGAGACCACCTCAAGCATGGAATCAAACAACGGCGTCACTAGTTTTTCAAGGGCCCATTACTTTTACCGAATGGAACCCCAGAAACTTTTACGCGTTGAAGACAGACAGCAAAAATTTGCAGCCGTTGAAGAATGGCTGTCCTTGCGCTTGTTTGGGACTTTTACAGCTTTTACTGCACTTAAAACTGGAAGCGCATTTTTCCCGTGTGCGAAATTGCGAGTCAAGAGCGAGAGCGGAATAAAAAGGACTAATTAAACCCGAAGCAAGACGACAATCACGTCCCTGTAGCTCTGCGCAGGACACAGACGAGGCAACGAGCAACAAAGAGAGGAAATTGAATGGAAAATGAAGTGAATGGATGAGAAACACTCGAGAGGGTAGTGAATGAAGGACAATCTCTCAAGACTTTCCGCTCAATTTGTAATTTGTTCTCCCAATGTTGTGCGTACCCTGCAGAACGCCCGCCATCTCTTCAACTTCTCTCTTTGTTGCGATGGCTGCTTTTGAATTCAGACATTATTTTCCCTTGTTATGTCTTACGGACTTCACCAGTGTTGAAACTCTCACACAGACTGACGACTCTCTTCTGTGAATGACAATGATCGGTCGGAACTGAAACAAAAACTTGGCCCTTGCAGAGAGACCCTCCTTGCACCTTGTCGTCCGATTTTCAATACAAATGCACTCCGAGCTTCAAAGGTTGAACACGGCGCGTCACGGATTTACGCGCTTTTAGCTGAGCCGTGTGGACAATGTTTTTTGAAATGATATATTTTTTTGCATTCTAGCAGCAGATCTTCAAGCTGCTGACTTAATCCAAATTACATGAAGACATTGGGGATGGAGAATGTAGTTCCGACTGCTGTGGATGTCTCATTAAGTGCTTTTAAGACTTGTAAATGTGTAAGAGAAAAGGGGAACATGCACTGCCAAGAGAGACTAGAACTTTATCACATACACACGCGCACTCAATGAATTTATAACTCTTCGGGACTACTTTGTTTTTGACCCACTCACTCCTTTTGACCGAGGCTCAGACAGACCTGGATACTGTGGACACATACAGAGGATGAACACTGTAAAACTTAAAGAAGAAGACTGAACAGGCTGGTCCCTGCTGGTCCCTGCTGGTCCCTGCTGGTCCCTGCTGGTCCCTGCTGGTCCCTGCTGTAATGAAGGAATATTGAACTGCTGGATTCACAAACAGCCACAAGAAAGACATGGAGGTATAAATACTGTATATCTTACAATGTTACAGGGTTTGTCAATGACCATCACTTCAATATTTAAGTCAATATATGATGTAGACTTTTTTTTATTTACAAAGTAACATTTGTCAAGCCTTTGTTTGTTATCATTATGATGGTTATGGCTTCCACTTTCAGACTTAAATAGTTTTATGTGGGGTTTCTAGAAGTTGTGAGCCATAATTATCAGCGTTTTAACATAAAAAAAAATGCTTGATATGTTTCACTTTATATGTAATGAGTCTTTCATGTATTAGTTTCACACTGTTTAGTTGAAACAGGAAGGAAATAGACTTTTGAACGATATTCACACTTTTCAAGTTTCTGTACTATAAAGTTCTTTGAAAGTGTGTGCGGACATCTCTAGTCACAAGCAAAAAAAAAAACTGTGTACAAATCATGTAGAAATACTGATATTTCACGGAACTTTTCTAGCCTGTTCAGGTAACGTATATTTATGTAAAACTCTGCTAATATGAATGGATTGCCTCAAAAACAAAATAGTTCTGGTTTTTGATGCAAATTTGAACATTTCTCCCTACCATAACCAGCTTATTATTGAAAGTTAAAAAATAATAATTCTTGGCAAAATCAAAGAGAATAAGAATTTGAGTTGCGTATATGTGTCCTTTCAAAAACTGAAGCCAATGTAATTTTCATCAGACAACGAAATGCAGAGGCAAGTGTTTTCATCTGGTGTTTTGCAAAAGTGACAAAAATAAAAAAAATAAAAAACAACTTTAAGAATAAAGGCATTCTATTGTCTGTGCCGGCCGCCAGCCAGACTAAATTGCTCTGTGTGGTTACAGAAAAGGGGTTGAATAAAAAGAAAGGTCTTTGTACCAAACACTATTTTCTCTTGTAGAAAGCTATCTTTTTGCATGGTATATATTCAGCAGACTTTTTGATTGTAGCAACAAATAAACCTTGAACCCCTTTGTGTTGATGGTAAACATTAGGTCGAAGTGTGGGCATCACAATTGTACATCAGTTTATTGGTTCATTAGTAATTTAGTTAAATATTTGTGTCTGCATCAAGCTGTTGGAAGATTTCCATAGGTATTGTTTTTTGTTCAGGTCAAAGTACAATGTAGACAGAAATACTTCACAATTTTTTTTCCAACAACTTTTTATTTTTACTAAATAGCTGTACTTTCTCCTGCTTACATTTAAAACTACTTTAAAATGGTTAGCCATGCTTCTACGTGAATCCATTCAATGTGGTTAGCCTTGTTTAGTTTAGTGTCATATCCTCTGCCAGTGTGAAACTTTTCCTACAACGGAATAATGTTGTTTAAATGTTTCAAAGGCAACTCTTAAAATGTCTCAAGTAACCGTATCGTTCGTCAATTGTTCAACCAAAAGGAATTCAACTTTTTAACTTTTTGACTGAAGTACCAACAAAAACATCTACTTGACTGCCTCAGCTTAAAGAGATAGTACGTAATATTAGAATTTTAAATGAAATCTACGAATGTTATACGTGTACCCAGATAATAGCTCATCATGAACATGTAGTATCTTATTGTTTCTGGAGTTATTCTTAATTAAAAATACAATGTACATCCAATCAGAGAGCAGAATGAGGCCCTCACTTCGGTTGCCAGTTTGTTTAGTTGTAGCCGGTCAAAAATAGCGGCAGACATTAGTTCGAATGAACAAATAAGTAGTCATAGGTAATACACAGAGTTTGTACTGTGTCTAGCTTAACTCCAGCAGGTGGTTTGTATCAGCAATCCAGGCATAGGACTGTTGACTTTATTAGACCACTAACTGCATTGTACTGTCTCTTTATGCAAGGGAGTTTTTTCATATTTTTTGTACTACTGTCTACACTTCTCTACCACCTCTGCTTGTACCACTGCTGCATTGGCCCTATAAGCAAGAATATCCCAGAGTAAAAAATATAAATTAAAAAAATAATTAAAAATCAGCATAAACAAGTTATAGCGACAATAATAACTCCAAGGAGGTTATTTTTCACAACCTTTTTGTAGTTTAAATCTCATTATAGTTTGAATCAGACCGAAAACTTGATCCAGATTTTTTTTTTTTTTTAAACTTGCTCTGTAATTCATCACTCTCGGACAAATGAGGGATCACACTGCATTGTCGCATAGAAAAATAACCAACATTCCCACACTTTATGACGGTTACAGCCGTTGTTTATAGAGCAACAAAACAATTCAGTAATTATTGTCGCAGTCATACATAATATTTTGCTCATTCAGACTCGCGCTGTATTGGGGCCAATCTTCGTGATGAATAGATCCCACCATAGATTACTCCACTGTGATTCTAATTATAACTTTTTCCAAACTTTTTGAGCTGCAACACCTGCCTACACTATAACAAATGTCCTGCACAAAGCAACCCAAATTTTGACTTTGAAAAATACCCCCGTGCATATGTTGCATTATGTCGAAATGTATTTTGTTCTAACTTTGCTCTCTTTTCTGTCCTCTATTCTTGCTTTTTTCCATCAGGGGTTTGGCTTTTTGGGACTAGAAGAATAACCGGAAAGGACACGCAAACCCCTCCCCCATGTGTACAGAGCCCCACCGGGATGAGGAGACAGCAGATAGTGAAGGTTGAATGGATTTGGATGACAACAGCGCCACCTAGTGTTGCATGAACCTCTGCAAGTTCATCTTTGATATGATCACCTTTGTATACATTGTGCATCATTTTTGACCCATCGTTTTTTGGACTTTTACAAGCAGTAAAATGGTGAAATGTAACGCTCTCTATTGTGACAAAAAAAAAGATGGATTTGAAATTCATGGTTGGAAAGTTGTACTGGTTTCACAGCAGCATTTTTACTTGTTTACGTTTTCTGTGCCTCAATCTTTACCTTTTGGATAAGCCAAAGTAGACTGCAGTCGCTTTTCATTTTGTTATACACCTTTTTTCTGTTTTTGCTTGGTTCAAAAATAGTATTTGAGTCTTAAATCCGTCCTTTAGCAACATTATCAGGCAACATTCAATCACCACTTGATCAAATATATTGAGTGAAAACCTGTTTAGAATGTGCTTATTTCGTCATCCCAAACTTCACTGTTTTTGCATTTCCAAATTATAATGGCTTTCCTGTTTTTGATGAACTAATGCCAGTTTTACAAAATTAGTTTAACACAAATGTTGATGATTGTTGGACGCCTCCTGTTTACTGAAAGAATAATTTATTTATACAAAGTTGCCAATTATACCAAAAGTATGAAATGTTATTGTCCCACCAGACTATTAGCAGCTCTACAGAATGTTTCCTCTCCTCAAGCTGATTTAGTTTTAGTTTTATTTACACTGGTACTGTTCTTAGAGGTAGGTGTCTTTTTTTTCAATACATTTGTTGAAAAACTTTTTTTAAAACAGACAACAGGTGACATGCTTGAAGAAATGCATTTGTATGGTAAAACTCCTTTTCTTTGCATCCTAATTTGCTCACACTGTAACTTAGCTTTTTAGTTTCTGAAAACATAGTATTATAATATCCCTGTTTTATGTTGCTCGAGTTTTGCTTATTGATATTTTGTTTTAAAGTAACTTATTTCACTTGTACAAACATGTTGATATTTATTACCATTGTACATATGTCCTTATTTTTTATATGTGTGTATATATACACAAATAAAAATAGAGATATATTTGTGTGTTGATTACTTATTGACCTTGCCTTGGAAAAACCAGTCGGAAAAGCCGGGGAACCTTACATTTTTGTTTCATAAATGATACATGTTTTTAGTCCCAACAGAAAGAGGACGAGAAACAGTCAAAGTGTAAACAAATCAGACCAAAACATGCTGTTGTGTAGAAAACATGACAACAGAGGCACGACCCCAGACCCATCCGCATCTTGTCTCATTTTTGACATCACTAGAAAACATGTTATCTTTCACATCCCTGTAAAAAGCCTAAGAACGGATAACAGAGCTGAGAACTGATTGGTCGAATGACAGACGTCTCTCTTTTTATCTTTTTCACTTTTCTGATCTAATGATGTGATAGAGGCCAAAAAACATTTTGTGATAAAACTTGTATTGAGAGCAAGGAACTGGATTGGATGGATAGGATTGTTTCCTTTTATGTAGTTTGAAGATTGGGTACCCCAGCTTTAAACAGCCAATCAGCCCAAAGCGGCTTATATAGCGACTCAAATAACTCTTTCTTACAAGTTAACGTTATTAGACATTAATTTAAGACAGCAATTGACTAAAATGTATATCCTTAAGTCTTTAAAAGTGCATTATACTTTAAGGAAAAAACAATTATTTTTTTTACAATGGAATATGAATAGACAAGTCAGAGACCTATAGTTACACCTTTGAAGCTTCATTTTACAGACGTGGTTAGAATCATCCGTCAATCCATTTTCTTCCATTTCATCCATTGCCGTGTCGTGGGGGCGGCACTCTGAGCAGAGATGCCCTGAATCCCCAATCAACATGCACTTCCTCCAGCTCATCCGGGAGAATCTCGGGGCCAGAAGTGTTTAGATTAAAACGATAACCAAACATAATCCCACGGTTTTGCAACTATAAGACACATGCAAGACTAAATATCCAAACTGTATTCACACATTTCTCATTAATATGGCACATTATAAACATCTTCAAATCCTTTAATAATGCTGTAAGATGCACAAACACATCCAGTATAGTTATAACTTTGGGAAACGTCTCAGTTCTGACAGGTATTCCCACGGACACGGATCTGTGTTGTGTGTCTTGGGCCCACATCTTCTGTGCTTCTTCTCTGCTGCACAACAGTCAGACGTGTGTTTTGCTTTGAGTGGTGCCTTGAAGAGGAAGTGCCTGATGCAGAGACAGCCCCAGATGCACACAGCCTCTTCAAAGTTTCATCTGATGTTTGTCGCACTCACCAAGAACTGGCTCCATGATTCTGTATGAGGCTGCAGAGCGAACACCATTAGGCTTAGGCAAAAAATAAACGGCTTGAATACAGTGATATGGGATTATTGAAAGCCACGACCAATCAGACCACAAAATGCTGTTTTAATCTTGTTATGAAATTATCTTTTGCAAACTTGTAAGAAAGAGCCCTGTGAGTTTACGCTTTGGGCTGTGAGTTGATTGGTCGAGGTTCACCCCTTTTTTCACTTTTGTGTCTGAAAAAAATGGACAAACTAATAAACGAACTGTTTTAGAGTGAGGAACTTGCAGGAAAGATTTTCTTACATTGTTGAAATTTGGTGGATTCAAAATTCATCTTGAAAATTACATTGCAGTATGTAGAAATGTGTACTCAAACTTGACCTGTTATATTGTCCTAATGGATTGGCTTTGACAAAATTAATAAATCAAAGTTTTTTATTCCTATTTATGTGTTTGGAATATTAGTAACCTGTCTGACCCAGGGCACTTGTGGCAGTAGTTTACCACCACATTGTATTATGTGATGTGTCTTTGGGTGTAATGACAATGAGAAGTGCAATAAGTAGTAGCAATATTATCATTTAAATTATTAGAACATGCAGTTATATGGAAGGAAAGACTGTATACACTTGGGGGAAATGGTTTATATAGTTTATTTTATTTGTGTATGTTAATGTTAATGTTTCATCAGAAATAACGTAGGTAATTTTATAGAAGGACACTTTCCAAGGACATCTCAAAAACAGTAGTTTCAGAATCATCTTATCAGCGGTTTGATCATAGACTGACCAAAGCACACTACACGCTCGACACACGCCTGACAGGAGGTGGCACGTGATCTGTGTCCAGCTTCTCCATTGGATAATTCATATTAAACTAGTTCCGGCGTCCTGAAAGTAGTACCCTTATAACGCGTCCTTTACACTCCTTGATTAATGCTATTAGATTAAAATGGCTTTCCCTCGTCCTTTTCGAATATACCATACCTATTTCTTGCCTTTTATCTCCGGAAATAATGTGACTTTGCATTTGTATTTGTTGTACTGGCGGAGGGATATTAGCTGCGCAGTTGGGCTCTAGCCGTGGTGGGGAGTTTGAACCTGCTTCTGTTGATGTTTTATTTTACACAGGTTTTAATGGTGATTTTGTAATTTATTTTGTTTTAATCCACGTAGAGTCTTACAGAACGGGTGTCACCACGGTATCTTTGTAAAGTGAGTATTCCAGTATCAGCTAGTATGAGAGTTGCGAACATCTGATGACTGGTTGTGTGCTAACCATAAGAGTTAGCCTGCTAGCTTAGCAGGGCCTTAACAATAACTATTGTAAAGAAGGTTACAGAATTGCTTGTGTTTACAAGGCTTCTGCCTTGTGAAGCGGTAAAACCTAACTTTGAAACCCCAGCCAACTGAATAATGCTATACAATCCATGTCATTAGGCTGTGATTAGACTCACTAGTTTTTACATACATTTTGGCTTCTGTCACATCTTCACAGATCAGCTTTAGAGTGGTCCACTCTCACTCAGCTTTCAGCTCAAATTCCTAGTCCAAGGTTTCTTTCTTACAAGTAGGCAAAGGACAACATGTTTTTTTTTATTAAGATGAAAACTGTGTGCTCTGATGTGTTCACAATTTACTTCTACAAGACTGTGTTTATTCATAAAAAAATCAGAATGAATGCTGTCACACTAATTGAACTGTATTATCTATTTTCATTCACATCTGAATTGGAATGATACGTGAGTACTACTTTATTTGTAAAAGGCAGGACAGAGAAGTGGTATTGGCGGCAACAGTGTTCCTAGACATTTAAATTAAGATGTTATATTTTGTTTTACAGATGTCAACACTCAATATGAACTCCACAGCCCCTGAGGAAGATCAGAAAGACTCCAGTGTTTTATCAGATATTCAAACTCCCAGAAACTTTGCAGAGTGCACTGCGGCTGACTTCGGGATTTCTGTAGAAAGCTTTATCCCAGCTTCAGTGCCCTCTCAAAACCGTAAAGGTAAAATGTACATGCACCTGTGAAGGTTGTATTATGTGACAATAATTAGTATTTCACATGAGTTGTAGCACGACTTGTTTCATCATTCCTTGTCATTCCAGAAAAGTCCCGTCTTGCACAGTTAAAAATGAGACGTAGGTCGAACATCGGCGTTCGCGGCTCACCTGAGACCAACTCTCTGATCCGTTTCATCGCTCAGCAGAGGGCGAAGACGCCACCAGCTCAAGCCACTCCAGAGGTGACTGATGTTGATATTGTACATGTATCGTCTTCTAAACACCGTAAGTGCCAGACTTTGTCTTTTGACACCTGCGGCCAGTGTATGTATTTTTAATACAGCAGAGCAGTATTTTTCAACCAGAGTGCTGTGGTACATTGGTTTGGCTTTTAGAAATATCATCTAATTCGGGCGTTCTGCTCTCCCAAAATTCCATCCGATGGGCGGGGGAGCGACTGAATTTTGCGTTGCATTATGGGTAACACTTGCCTTCGCAACTTCCTGTTCTCTCTGCCCAGCGTATTTTCTCTAAATGGTTGAGTGTTTTTGTCATTTTCTGTATGCAAATACATTCCCGTCTCTAACTAGTGGCATATCGCGCAAATCATCCGTCCAATTCACATTCTTCCCTCTTAGCTGAACTTCATTCTCATTGTTACCATCTGTCACTCGCACACACAGCCGTTTTCGTTCACTCTGCTCGCTGTCATCTTCTTCTAAATCTTCATAAACACCATCCGCTCGTTGAACTAGCAACAACAATTCCTCCTTTCGTTTTCCCACACTGCAAATACCCTTTCGCTTCAACCTTTCACGCAATTCAGGCACTGTCAATCGCTTGTTGTTTTCGTGAGCCATATTCGCCATTGTATGAAATCAACCGGAAGTGAACTGGGCAACAAACGGTGTCATTTTTTGATCACAGCGCCGCTCAGTGGATGAAATTTTGGGAGAGCAGAACGCCCGAATTGGTATAAAATAATATGAGACGACTTTGAATTTTTATTGAAAGAGGCAGAGTAAAATTTTGCTATCAGTTTCAGCTGGGGGTGTGCCAAACAATTGTTCTCTAAAGAAAATGCTTTGCCACAGCTCAAAAAGGTTAGGGAAGTTTTTGATAGCGTATCCCCATAAACTGTTATATCAGCTGCTGTTTATGTTTGTAAGAACAGTGCGGACAGGGCCAACACAAGGCATTACAGAGAAACACATGGGACTCGGACTTATTATTTTGACTCAAGTTTTTGTAGCTATCGTACGCACCTTTTATTGTCAAAATACACACATATACAAACACCTGACAGGGCACCCATCAGTTAAGGCGCTAACGTGGGCTAATGTTTTCCTCAGAGTTCATTGTGTAATTTACCAACATTTTATCATGTAGTGACCAGTTAAAACAGTCGTCCATCAACTTTGTTTTTCTCTATTGTTTGTCTTTGAGCTGTGGTTGAAATCCCAGTGTGCACAATATCCAAACACTACAAGACAATATACATGACAGGAAAAGGTTTGACACTGAAACAAGGAGATTTAAAAACAAGCCCAGTCTTAAAACAATAAGCTATGTGTTAGATCCAGAAGAGTCATTGATGATTTGTAGAGCTCCCTGGAGAGTCTGGATTCATAAAGAGCCTCCAGATCAGGCAGATCCCAGTTCACAGTCCGTTTTAATAATAGAGCAGAACTGTGTGAAATTGAAATCACATTTCGTACTTTGAAAAAGACCAAGTTTTCTGTTTTTCATCACTTAATTAAAACTTCCAGCCGGCTGCTTACCATATGGCACTTGTTGTTCCTATTACGGCTGCCAATAATCACATATAGATCGAGGTGCATTTACAGTCTTGTGGGAAATTAGTGTGTTCAAGATCCTCAATATTTCACCACAATCTATCGCTTTAATGCTGAGATGAAAAGTGAGACCAGAACGACAATAAGTCTAAACGTGGATGAGACGGAATGTTTTCAGAGATAACATTTTTCCAGACAATTGTTGAAACTATAAATGTAACAAGGCTGTCAAAAGGCAATTATCCTCACACTGTTCAGCTTTTAATTAATAATACATCCTTTTAAAAGCCTCAACCAAAGATGATTTGTTCTGTCCAATCCACTTTACATATTTTTAAATTAAGTTCTCTAATGCCTTTAACTGTCTATTGCTCAAACAATGGTTTAGTTTTGACCCTACTTTAATGGAAACTATCATCATATTAATAGGGTTTAAGTTTTCTTGATATTTTGAGGGCACATTCTCCATACAAAGCCAAAAATCCAAAAGCTTCTCCAAGTCTCTAATCGCTATGTGCATGAAATTGAAGACTGATCATAGAGCTGAAGATTATTTTTCCTAATCTCTGCCATTACTTCTCATCATTCATGTTTTATATAAACAATTCCAATAATCTAACTTTTTTTAAATGTACATTATGTGAAATTGAGATAAAGCAATATACGGAATGGATTGATTTCAATTTCACCCTGCGTTTCTTATCACTTTCACAATCTCTCATCAAAACTCACAAAAATCAAACTTACTGTACCGTAATTGCTGAACTATATGCCGCTACTTTTTTCAATATCTTTGAATCCTTTGCTTTATCCATCACATGTCAGCAGTGCGTCAAAAAACCTCATTATTAAATCATGGTGTGACCCGTAATAACAGTTCATTGTTATAACTAATTGGCCATCTATCTGGCCTGTATGTGGAAAAAAAATTACTTTCGCTGTTGCGGTTTATATACAGATGCCCTTGATAGTCAAAGCAAGTGCTGCAATTATCTGTGATTTGTGCAACAAAGAATAAAAGCTCCTCCAAAATTGTCTTTCCAGTGTTTACTAAACATCTATTCTTTGTTCCCAGCGCTCTTATTACCATAGTAACACAATATTTGTTAATCAACTAACATCAAGGTGCCTCTTTCAGCCTAAATTAGACAAAAGGAATGCTTCCCATGTACAATATTATCTCCAGACACTTATGATATGTGACTAATTCTCAATAGATTTTTGAAAATAACGTCTGCCTCCTGTTGAGCGGCATCTTTTTGAGGTAATATGTTTTATTCATTTGTTTTGGTTTCTTTCCAGCTGGGGAAGAAGAGCCCGTTCATGCCGCTGGTCGCCTCCACACTGAGACAGAAGATCGCCTGCTTCCAGAGCCTGATGGGAGTGGAGGAGAGCGAGGGCGCTGGAGGATGCATCACGACAAGAGATGATCTGTCTGGTGAGCGCCGCACACTGCACCGGATTAATACGTCCATTACTCAATCGGAGCCATGCCAGCAGGACTGTGTTATGAAGTCTGAGGCTGCTGCTACTACTGCTACTGCTGCTGCTACTACTGCTCTGGGCTCAGTCAGTGCAAAACAACTGGATTATGACAAAGAATCACTCCCTACATTGATTGTTTTTGAGTATTTGTATTAGGTGTTACAATTTGTACATTAAAAACCTAAACATCACATCGCATAAATAAAAAGGGCAGATAGAATTCATTTAAAAGTATTTTTCTGTAACTTTTCAAACATAATCCTCATAAATCACACAATAAAATGTTACATCTTCTTTTAGTTTGTATTATGTTTTAGATAGAGGTATAAATCATATATTCATATATATATATATTCCATTGAGAATTATTAAATACTATTGTTGTCCAGATGGCAAAAATCTTCAATCCGGTAAAGAAAACCACCCTCCCTCCATGACCCTCCCACCGAACAAGAAGAGGCGCCTGGGGCCCACTCAGGGCTGTGGAGGCGAGATTACAGAGAATGACCACCCCCCTCCCAACCAGCTGGAGGTACCGGCGCACAACTTCTTCAGTGTAAAGAATTTCGTTGTTATAAAATATTCATACTTCAACATGTCTTGACTTTTCTGTTGGCATAGGAAATAATGTATGTATTTTAATTGTAAGGGTTTAAAAGTTGTGTCATTGCTACCAGTCATTTGAATTGATCAAAACACAAAAACTATTTTCTCAGGAAAAACCACTACTATCTGATAAAATTGTGGAGGCACCTGCTCAAGCTGTGGTCATTTCGCCGCCGTTCCCTGGAGGAGAGTTGTCCGTGTCTCCAGACTCTCAGCTCTGGTCTCCCACTGACAACCAACAGGTCAGAGCATTTGTCTTGCATACGCTAGATTGTCTCTGCATTAAATAATATTTAAAGCACTCTCCCAAGAATCTCTGTCTCAATCACAATTGAGGGAAGGATGGATGGAGTCGCCTGGTGTGCGGGAGAGAGAGCAGAGCCGAAAGACAAAATGCTTTGTTTACTGGTCAATCTACCCCCTCACCCCCTTCACCACTGGTCCACACATTTTTAGGGGAAGAGGCGAACTGCAAATTATTGTATTTGGCAGAAAACTATATGAAAAAGGAGTAAAATGGTATGACAAATAAATAAATTATCTATTAATATTATTATTATTATTCAGGCTTGTCGAGCTGCACATTGAGTAACCTTAGCTTATGGTCAGTTTTGAGTATTGAATGACCATGTGAGCAGGGTGTTTTTAATTTTCCCTAATCTAAAAAAGTTACTTTAAGGTTACTTTAGGACATGCTGTCTTAAAAAGCCTATAAAATGTATATTCTTTACCATCACAGCTACAGAAATAAAGTGTTGCTGTATCATGTGTATTTTTAGGTTTGTATCCATAAACCTACTGAGCTGGAATGCATTCACTTCCTTATCAAGTGAAACAAAGTCAGGAGACTTGCACATAATGAATTGTAGTGTGTGTGTAGTAGGGTTTAATATTTTTCCCGAAAATGAGACGTATCACATCCCGGGAAAAGACGACGCCTTTCCCGGGAAATCCCGGGAAATAGTTGTTGTTTGTAGTTGTTGTTTTTAGCCCAAGTAATGTATGATATCACTCAAATATATAATCCAACAAAAGCTGCCATCTCCACTAGTGTTTCACCAAGTGACTTGCTAGCTTTTATAAAGTAGCCATAGCGTTTTCAGACGTTTTGTTGATGGGCTTTCTTCAGGAATTTCACTATTATGAGATTCTAAATGTCTGCGCAATCCACTTGTCGAAAAGTGACGTGCGGTGTGGTTTGGAGGCACTGACTTCAGCCCAATCAGATGAACATATATCATATAAATCAACAGAACCTACAGAGCGGCTTATTCACAATTAGTTTGGCTACAGCAGAATGTTTTCCATGGCCCGCATTGTTTGCTCAAACAAAACGCAAAAGTTCGTAAAAGGCACATTTCCAATTGTGTTATGGGTCTTACCTTAGTTATTAATGAACAGCACAGACCACTTCAGTTCAGACCAGTTTCATGTTTAAGTCCAGATAATAGTTTGAGCGCAGATATGTAATCCCCCATTTGTAAATAAGCCCAAAGAGTTTTAAAGCGTAAAACAAAACGGGTGCCACCTCCATAAACTCCTCCGTGTGTTCGCTGCAGCCGGCTCTCGGGCGCATCCAATTTCTAATATCAACCTTCTTACCCTTCTCCTCTCTTCCTTATCATTCCTATCGTCATTGTAAGCAGAACATTAGCCTAAATGCATTTTATATGATTTTAAAATGTGTTATATGTATGTTAGCCAAACCTGTTGCTGCCCTTAGCAGATGGAAAAAAAGAAAGGAGCTTTCTGATAGAATTGGACGTAACCAAATTCTGGGCTCACATGTGCCCCGTACCCTGAGCCTGGCCTCATTACAAGTCGTGGTTTAGCGCGATTAAGACCCATATTTGTTGTCAAAAACACAATTTAGGAGCCATCCTCTCAGCTGTAGACATGTTGATTGTAAATGAAATATGTTTGAACTTTGAACAACAATAAACGTGCTTTATAATAGGAGCGCACTGTATTTTTTTTTTTACTTTCATTTCCCGTTTCCCGTCATAACATTTCCCGGGAATCGGGAAATAGTTTTCATCAGATTTCCCGGGAATCCCGTATCCCGGGATTAAACCCTAGTGTGTAGGTTGCGTGGATACTGTGTGCTGAGTTGTGGGTTTCGATCCTATGTATGAGGACTAGATAATGCATTTTATTGGTGTACAGTTGTTACAGCCCAACTCGACTGCAACAAAGAACAAGTGGGGATGACGCGACAACCAGATTTAATGCCTTGCTTTTTTTATTAAGAAATAATAGCAATATTAATATTACTGCAAAAAATTATAACTAGTTGCGTGAAATGCAAGTATCATTAGTAAGTAATTAATCTCTATATACCGCCTTTCACAGACCAGAGTCACAAAGCGGTTTACAATTGTACCTTTTAGTGAGAGCTTTAACTTGCACTTTTAATATTTTGCACTTTGACCCCTCTCCCTCAAGACTACAGATGGAAACTGCTATTAAGCTACAGACTTGTACAAGCCACTTCATGCATACTGTAATTGTGCATTGTCCTGATAAATAAATCCATACATTGAGCTTTTGTCTTCACACTTGCACAGTAGTGGAAGAGATCTTGTGTTTTATCTTCAGGAGGTTGTTCTTGAACTTGAGAGAATCCAACAGCCATTGCCTGATGACACCTCCATAGCAGCTGCAATGCAACCTGCCTCCCACCTCCACAGCCCATCTATCTCCTCTCTGCTGGAGATGAAGCCTTCAGGTGAGAATGGAGGAGCAGAGTTTTCTGTCAAGCCTGGTATACTGCTTTGCAGTCATTTCTATGTTACTGTCTTCGTGTATAAATGGGTTTTACAGTTATCTTTTTGAGAATGTGTATTACCTGGATACCAGATAAATGTCTTTGATCCAGTTATCCAGCGTCCTTTTTTAAAACTTTTGGTACTGATACGGATACTTGCATGAGATTTGTATGTATACTCCTTTTTATCTCTGTTAATTATGTTTTCTATACAACTTAAGTTATTGTCTTGGTTGGTGTGCTGCAGACTCCCTCAGCAGCCCTACAGTAAAGAAAAAGAAGCAGGTGCGTTTTGGAGAGCCTCTTCCTCCAGAGCTGTTTGATAAGACCCTTCCTCCCAGCACCCCGCTGAAGAAGGGAGGTACACCCGCGAGGATTCTGACTCCTGGAGATGCACTGAAGATGCGTTCGCTGCTAAAGACGCCACAGAGAGCTGACTCTCCCTGCACATACTCTCCCTCCACAAATCTGCTCTTTGCCTCTCCGGTCCTGTCCATGCCCCGCGGCCAGAGGATCATGACTTCAGAGGAGGACACTGAAGAGATGAGTGGAAAGGTGCTGAGAACAGTTGAAATACGTGTATGCTACAAGTAAGGATTAAAGAGGAGCAGTGCAGACGTTTAAATTATACAGCTTCACTGCTCCAAGTTGTGTACTCCGGTTTTACCATGTACAAACGACTCACACACTCATAAAATGTTACTTAGACATTTGTCCTAAAATGATTATGGTGATGTATTAGACAAAGTGATAAGAAACCTGTAATTTAACTTGCAGATTGAATAGTATTAATCAACAGCGGTTAGTTTTTGGAATTATCTGACCCTATATGAATAATACTCATTGAAGGGTTTTTTGTTTGTAGATTCCTTTTCCCATGGATGAGATTGAGCTCGAAGCTGCCATTGCTGAAGGTATCATTTAAATCATTCAGTAACATCTTGGTCAATCCTAGCCTGGTCGTACCACACCATAGTACAAATTTCATTTCGTACTAGCGTCTGGAGGTGCTCCGTTAACAGGTGGGAGGGGTTAACTCCTTTTGCCGATTGAAACGATTGGATATGAGTTTACCGTGACGTATGTAATGCGCCCCAGTGAGTCGTTGCTCCGGCTTCAATTTCTTGATAGAACCAGACTGGATTACTTTACTATTGCATTCCTCGCCATTGCCAAACTACAAACTGCCCGTTCGGCGCAAACTCTTGACGTCACCCACATCGAACTACAACACCCGTCTCCCGCGCTCACTGATTGGTCGGATGGAATTTAACCAATGTAATCGCCAACACAGGGACCAGACCCAGACGTTACATGCAGGGAAATTATGATTGACCGCAGTGTACGGACGTCTAAAGCCAGGCTCGGTCAATCATACTGTTCTATGTTTTTTATGCAGTAGACATACCCTGTGTGTTGTATTCTAATAGCTGTTGTTCTTTACAGAGTCATTAAATGCTCAACCACTGAAGTTGGACACTGCTTTTAATGAGGACTCCCTTTCCCTCTGTGTGACAGGTAAACTAAACAAGCTTAGTTGAGGTAAAGAAAATTATGCAGTACGTCATTTTTAGTGATTTATCTTATGCTCAGACAACTGGAAACTAGTATATTTACCGCTGCCTTGTAAAGCAGCTACAACTGGTATTTCTACTTGCAAAGTCGATTTTAGGTTCTTCCACTTCAGAAACAAATACAACTATAAATGTTGTAACAGCAAAAACAATTGTCAAAAACCATAGATCTGAGTTGTTTAACATTTTAATAAACATTAACATTCATATTTAAGTTGATAGAACTTCAACTGTAATACATTTTTAGATTAATTGTTGTTTGAACCTGACAAAGACTTAAACACTGGGGCTCAAAATAATCGTTAATCAAGATGGAACGCTCTGTGGTGGAAGATATCCCTCCTCCCAGTCACCTTCCATGAATTTGAGATTTGATCAAAGTGACTGGCGCTCTCATAAAACTCTTTATTCCATATGTCAAACTTTTCACACAACAATACTGTACTGTGTGTCTGTGTACTGCCTCCGCGTGAGTGCATTGTGCTGTATTTCTAACTTTTCCTTCCCCTTCTTCTTTTTGACAGAATGTGAAACTAAACCAGTGGAAAGCGGCTCCCCGGCGGACAGTCAGCCTCCAGAGCCAGAGGAGGAGCATTCTGCTCAAACAGACACTGAAGCTGCAGCCTCTGGCACCAGAACAAGAAGGGGAAAGGTCTGATTATTTTCCCTCTGAGAAATCCCCCCCGGTCACATCTACTGTTTTTATAATGCCGTATTTTCAGCCTTCCCAATGCCACGCTGCATACAAGGAAAACTGTCATTTCTGCAGCTAAAGTGACCATTCCACTGTTCTTCCTTGCACCAAAATGTATATCATTCTCAATTTTTTTTTTGCAGGCGACGCTTGACACAGCAGAGGCTACCTGTTCCAGTGGTCGTAAGAGAAAGGTCTGCCATCTTCTCAAATTGTTTCATCTCAGTTGTACTTCTCCCCCCTAATAAGTAGTCCAGGGTTACAACATGTTCCATCTAATACACTCTTTAATTCGCTCAGTTCTGAGTCTGAATCACATGGGTGATTCTTGCTTTGTGTGCGGCTGCGGGGAGAGGATTTTGGTCCTAATATAATCTCCCTATTCCCTCGGTGTTCGGCGCAGCTGCCAGAAGAGAGTGAACCGGTGAAGAGGTCGTCACGCTCCGCAGCCAAGACGGCCTCTGGGAAGATGAAGGTGAGCCACTGATCCCGCCTTTTTCATTTCTTTTCGCACCACTTCAGACGGAGCTGCTGTAGGCCACCACTCCGCCGCTGCTGCTTACCAGAAGGTGCGCACAGGGCTGAAGGCTGTTCTGGCTACAACTCACTTTGCCCTGCTTCGAGCTGGATTTCTACAAGTTTCTTCCATTTCGACGAGTCCGCAGGGTCTTAAGTATTAGAGAAGATGCCATGATGCAAAGTGGTCTTTTTTGCTTATATCCATGCAACAAAATGGTTCCCTCCTCAAAAACACCAGCTGCAGAATATTTATTTTGAACCATCAGGATAACAGACAAAAAAACAAGTGCATAGTTCGAAAAGGGGTTCGATGAAGAAAATGCTTATTTGATTCCAACCTGCATCACACATGCCACACAATGCACTGCTATAATATCATGCAGTAGAATCCAAAACACACAACTGTACAGTACATTCAGTAACACCAAACATAACACTACTACAGTGAGGCTCCACCCACGCTACTTTCAGGAGCACAAATATGGCTTCATTTGAAGAATATTGTACATTGAATGGAAATTGATCAATCTCAATAAACACACAATTCTGCTTTACATACATTTTGGATCATCAGAGTGAATCAATTCTCAAAGAGATTCCTATTATAAGAAACAAAGTTATACTTAAGGGTTACGTAACAGCAACATTGTTTAAGTAAGTTTTTTATATATATATATATATATATATATATATGATTTTCTGCCCTGGCTTCGCTGACTTCTGTGTCACCATGACGCTCCATGTGTTTGCATATTTTCCAATTCAGAGTTTGTCGCCAGCTTTTTGCTTAAATGCGGGGAGGGGAATCATCTTATTGCTAGCTTGCTCTATGGTCTAAGCGGAGTCTGCTGGGCATTTTATGGATTTGATGTGTGAGTGATTATGGAAGTACACAGACTTGTTTAGTTTATATTGTTTATTTTTAGATCACTACTGAGATACAGTACAGTACAGTACTACAGTAAATATATGTTGAGCCTTGGATGTTGTAGATTATCACTAAGGCCGATGGAAGCACGTTATGACTTGCAAATGTAAAATGGTTACTCACTTCCTCTCCACATCACTGTTCTTTCATATAAAATATGTACCTGGAAAAGGCTCATTGCTTCCAGTAGGTTTTCATCTCGAGTCGTCCAAGCTTTCAGCATTTTAAGTAAGATAAGATAAGATAGACTTTATTGATCTCACACAGGAGAAATGTATTTTTAATCCTGTCAAAAGATCAGAAAATCATTTCTCAAGCTGTAATTCACAACTTTCCCCCGCATTCGCTCTCAGCTGTTTCTTTATACTTGTAATAACAGCCCTGAGGCTTTAGGTCTATTATCAACTTAATCCGTCATTCATATGTTAAGTTTTGAGTTAGTTCTAGAGAGGTGTAGATGTGGGAAGGGGCCAAGGACCATAAACCTCCAGATTACTTCTTTTATGTAATTTATACTTTATTAGTTATCTTTTGCAGTCATTCATTCATCAATAAACATTCCACAGACAGCACAAGCTCAGTTATTTGAACAAAAAAAAGAGAGAGGGAGAAAATGAACAAAAATAGATAGTTAAAATTAAATCCAGATCAATTCTATAGTGGAACCTTTTCAGGATTCCAACAGGTGTATTTAGACATCAATGTTGCAACTCTATTTTTTTTTTATTTTTTTTTTTGTGAACTCCTACGCTACAGTTTATTTGATGCTGATCACGACAAATCTAATCTAAGTGATCATATGGCCGCGACTAATATTTCAGGTTAAATACTTTTCTAATGTGACAAAACATTTATAACTGTTTTCATGTTCATAGGCAAGTGCAGCTTCACGTCGCTGGAACAAGAAAGTGGACCGCACTCTCTACGGCTCTAGAGAATACGCCTCCAAAAACCCCTCCCTCAGCCCCATCACTGAGCGCCTGTCCATGAGGCTCTTCAGGGCCACAGAAGAGCATGTGGAGGACACGGGTAAAGTTTGAACTAAAATGCTTGTGGCAATTTCCTTAGTCCAATCACAGGGATCACATTATTTTGCTCTTAAAGGGATCCGCTATTTCGCCAATTTACAAATGTTAAAGTGGTCTTCTAGATTAATGTTTTTCAACCAGGGTGTCGTAGCACTCGTGACATAGAGATGTTGTTTAGTGTGGCTTTTGAAATGATAAGATGGACTTGATTTGATCTCACACAGGAGAAATTTACATGTCACATTTGGCATAGATAGAATCACTCAGATTTGTGCAAAAGACAGAAGTGTGCAACATGTTAAAGGCAAAAAATATATTCTGTTCAGGATATATTATGATCTGATATCACCTAATCGGTCAAAATGCTGTAAGAAGATTAGAAAAGACTTTTTTGCTCTTGTTTGATTTTCTGAATACACTTTGATAAAAGTTTTTTTCCAGTTATAATATAATTTTTATATAATTTTTCTGTTTTAAATTTTTACTGTGAAATTAATACATACGGTACGGCCTTTTTCTATGAGATGAAGGTAGCTTGTTGTAGTCTGTTTTTTTGACATTCTTTTTTACACGATTCTTTCTGTTTCTTACTAAAACAAATTCTAAAGTTTTAAAAGTTTAAGTATTTTTCCTGGTCTGTTGGTTTTCCACTTCCACTGATCATGTTTGTCTCCTTTTCTGAACAGTCCCAAGCCAGGAGCCTTGCCCCAACATCAGCTGCAAGACAAAATTCGTCGGCGTTCAACGAACCAGGAGGCGGTCAGGGTCAAAGGGCACAGGGAGAGCACTGAAGGGAAGAAAGGTTAGTGTTAGTAATGGCCGAGCCGATGCAGCAGTGCATGACAGGAGCGAGGCAAGCTACGCTCAACAAGACGAGACGGAAGAACTCTCCATATATGCATCGCACACTGATGGAGACGCTCGAAGTGACATTAGTGCCATGGACGTGTTCGATACTCCAACAGCGGAGAATGAGGAGTCTGCATCGCCCGCTATTGTGGAAGCGACCACAAGCTTTTTCCAAAGTGACAAACTCAAACGGGCATCTGTACAAGTCAAACCCAGCCCGGAAAAGGTATCAGACGAGAAAATGAGCAGTGAAGTTGAGAGGAGACATGGAGAACAGGCCTTAAGCCACCAGGAAAGTGCACTGTCACGGCCTGATGAACACAAAGCAGAAGTAGCAGCAGCAGCAGCAGCAAGCCTTCCTCCCTGGCATGAGGAATTCAACTTCGAGGACGTGTTCAAGCCCGTCCCCACCAGAGGGCAGCGTTCCGTCCGACGCAGCCTGAGAAACCAGAGCAATTTGGATCCCAGCAGCAGCGGGGGATTGGCATGGCTTCCCCACGTCTCCCCAGAATCCATCAAGGAGTCCCGCAGGAGGACAAGGGGGCGTCGGCTTAGCGCCACTCTGCACGCGCCAGCCCTGGAGGTGACCCAGCCATGATAATTAATAGGACTATTTAAGCTAACCACGCGGGATGGATCTTTTTCGACTGTTTGGGGCGCAAGGGAGATGAGTATTTCTGTAGCCCTGTACTGCTGCCGTTGTAAAGAAATGTGTTTCCAAAGAACATTGCGCTTTTGTTCCCCGTGAATTATTTTAATCCAAGCTGTAATTTGTAGGCAATTTCTCCCCCCGGGTGGTAACCAAGTCGGTCAATAGAGTCCAATCATCTCTGCCGACTACCTCCAAATCAATACCCCTCCACTAACGCTGGTAATCGCCCTGCATCTTCAAGCCCCCCCCCCCCCCTTTTTCTCCCCAAAGTCACTCCATCGAGCTGTCAAAGACTTGATGTCACTGGACTTATAGAAGAGAAGGATTAGGATGGATATCAAATGTATATAGTCGTGAGTCGTTTGGTTGGTTTCATAGAATTCTGTGTAAAAATCTACTACTTCAGCTACATTTCAAACATGATTTTCAATTTGAAATGGGGAAAATATTACAACTGTGAACGTTTTTATTTTTCATATGGTTTAACTGAATTGATCTGTATTGAACTTATTACAGTACATGTTTATTTTGTACTGAAATAACTATTCCACACTAGTCAAACATGTGATTTATTTTTAAATAAACGCTTTCATTTTGTAGAAACACTAGTCTTTCAATGACCTCTGATTTAAGTGACGTGTTTGCCAGAATTCTTGATGTTTGTTGCTGCTATGAAACCATCATTCAATAAAACGGCTTTCATTTGAGGTGATAATTCATATTCATTTAGCTGGCTTTAGTCCAAGTCATAAAGCACAGCCACAGCTCTCAAAGGCATTGTCCCGTGGTGCGATAAGTCCATTGAGAACAGTAGCATTCCTCTCACATCCTCTTCCCATAACCGTAAGCATGATGACATAAATTACTATTGTGATCTACACGCCTAAGTAAATTGACCCTTAGCCTTGCATTAAACCAATCACGCACACACACACCTAAATGCACTTGTCTTTACTCCCTCCATCCATCTCTATCTGTGGCGGTGACAAATTAAGTTTCAGATTTTGTTCACATTGAAAAACTGGGCCTCTCAAGACTGATGCTCGGCAGTCATCTATTCATCACGGAGGTAATTGACTGAGCGCTTTTAGATCAGCTCTGGCACTTGGATGAAGGACGTGAGGGAGGTTTCCTGCTTGGGTGTATGTGCCAAGGTCCTGTGGTTGGTCCAACGTGGTCCCCATATTGACAGTGGAGCGGCGCTGCCATCTAGTGGTGCACATAGGTGACTGTTGTTTGTACCACAGAAAACAAAGATGAAAGAAGTTACAGGAATCTTATCTTTAAAGGAAGGAAGGAAATGTTTAGTGAAGTTGTGAATAAAGATGGAAGCTGGGGTTTTAGCTAAATCCTGGCACATATTTTCTTTTTATCCCTGTTTGTCCCTGTTCAAATGTCTTGTGGCTCTCTGCTGCTCCTCGAGTCATACTGAACTTAAAACAAATACAAAAGTTTAGCCACAAGTTATAAACATTATGCAAGAAAAACCTACTTACTATATGATTTACCTATTATTATTTTGGAGTGCTAAAGGAGTGTTTTATACAAAGTTCTGGCCTTTCCCATGATTTAAGTGTGGCACTGTGGGACAATAGAACTCAATCCCATTTAAATCCTTTTGTAATCCAATCCAGGACCTGCTGTCACTCTTTACAGTAGTCAACAGCATGTCAAAAGATATTTGTATTCATGCTTTTTGCTTTTTGCTATAGTATATGTATATATATATATATATATACTGTACAATACATAACGTACAGTATATATATACTGTACGATACATAACGTACAGTACATATATGCTCTCACATGTATGTAACGACATTATATAAAAGAAAGTCCTTTCTCATGCAGCACTGGCCATATCTGCACAGTAGCTGCTCTTAAAAACAAATATCAAATAGACTGTAGGGAAAAGTGAAAAAAACAAAAGGCAAAATCACTAATGATAATGAAGGGAATACGTTTTGAAACTTCTTGACGAGAATTACTTTGACCTAACGGTACTAATTCTACTTCATTATTCTTGGCTCTTCTCTTTTAAACCAGGGGGGAGTCTTTTGAATAGGCGTTTTCATTGTAGACGTGTCCCAACTGGAACTCCAGAACCTCTTCTCTTCCAAAAAAGTGTGTTTTGTTTTCTCTGTGTGTGTGTGTGTGTGTGTTTGAGACTGGGTGTGGAGTCCGTATAGGTCCCCTCTCTGCTCTCCTCTCTCTGGCAGACGAGGTGCTCTGAAGACGGCTTAACACCAGAACAATGGGCTCTTTTTACCACAAGCGACGCCCCTGAGACATGAGGCCTCCTGTCACTGTGGCAACCCCCCACGGGACAACCGACAGCTGCTGCGGCGCACGAACCAAGTACAACAAAACACAGCCCCACAGTCTATTTCTTTCCACTACATCTTGGTCTGTATGTTTCACCCACTCAATTCAGGAAGTGGTTACATCTCATTTAGAGCCAGAGCTGAGTAGCAGAGCCAAGTATGACACTTAGAAAGATGAAATGCTGTGTTAAAAAACCTGCCCCACTTTTTTGTGACATATATTTTTATACCTGCATGTGGAGCCAAATCCCATTATACCTTTGAAGCTAAGCAGGGCTGGGCCTGGTTAGCACTGTGATGGGAGACCTCTGGGAACACCAGGTGACACATTGGGGTAGCTGTAAAGTGCCAAACTGTTGTTGTGTCCTTAGGCAAGACACTTCACCCGCATTGTCTAGAATGAGTCTGATGATAGTGTGAACGGTGGTGGTCAGAGAGGACGATGGCACAGACTGGTTGCCTCACTTCAGTCGCTTCAGTGTAGTTTATTACCACCGTCACAACACCAGAGTCCAAGAAAGTGCCATATTGAACCGATGCATTATTATTATTATGATTATTATTTCTATTCATAAATTCATACTAGTAAGTATTTGTTGCCCTGCGTTGGAGACTGAGGCTAACTCAACCTGTAGGCTTCAACATGCATTGTATTAATTTTAAAGCATTTAAAGTAAGGTAAAGCAATTCATTCATATATGTTGTATATTGTATATATATATAAACAAAGCAACAGAACAGAAAGTAAAATATTATGAACAAATCAGACCACAACATGTCTTCAGAAAACCTGATGCATTTTTTGTGCTTTATCTTACCCAGCTTTAAATTGTCCTTTTGAACTGCCCTAACAGCGTTACAGTATAAATTACATCCACCTTCCTCTTAGCAGCATGTGATTGACCTGATGGGGCCTCGGCTCACAACCTAAACCTCTTAAATCCCGCCCCAGACATAAAAGACACCACAATAAATCCAGTCTTTATGGTCGCCGGGTCGCCGTGGTAATAGGAGCGCATTGATCCCATTGACAAATATAGGCCTCAGACACAGTCACTGTACACCTGATTTTACGCCTCATTTTAACCAACAGGCTCTAATCAGTTCATGTATACGTCTAGATTTACAGTCTTGTTCTCTCTCAATTAGTTAATTAGAGGCTGAATAGTATTAAGCCATCCCGCTGCCTAAGGCTTCAGCGTGAGCCCCATGTTATTGATGCTGTCTAAGCCGCTCTATGGTTTTCCTGATGGGCCAAAGACCACAGGAAGACGGCAATAAACACCAAAGTTTGAGACTAAGCACGTTCACACTTGTCTGGTTCACTTTAGCTGGACCAATTCTAGTTCAATTGGGGGAAAATGCTTTATTGTGGCTGTAAAACTAAACAAGTGTCCACTAGTCGCTTTAGTCAGTTTTGAAACAGATAAGTAAAAGAGGTTTTTGTTCCCAGATTTGGTTCAGTTACAGTGAGCCAGTGTGGTGGCAAATGAAATGATGAAAGTATGTCAAATCAAAACAACAGACTGACAAACCCAATGTTGAATTTTGCAATATAAAATGTAGCCTCTTCCTTACACAATGAGCAACCTGGGCTGGTGTGACAGAACGTCCGCCTTAGTTTTAACCTCGTCTCGTGAGATAGTCTTTTTGCCCGAGGCGTGTCCAGTGTGAAGATTACGGTCAAAGATGGCTGCAATTTAGACAGCAGTAAAACCAAACTCTTCTATAACCTGTTGCTTACATCTGGGTCAGGTGAAGAAGGTTATAAAACTACACACAAGTCACACAAGGGAAACCGCAAGAGTGAGCCCTTGAGCTTTAGAGTAAAGTAGTCCTTGAAAAAATAATGTTTGAAAATCCACATTGGATAAAAAGCTTGCTGTAGTTCTTTACAACATGATTCCCTGGGGTCCTCGGTATACTGCGGAGTGACTTTAGAAGACTGGTTTTAAAAGTTGGAAGCGTGTTTTGTCCCAGGTCAGTGCTGTGATGACACTAGTTTGCATTATTATTTGTCACATACAAAATGTCCTCTTAATGTGAAGGGGCGACATCTGGAAGTTGAGTGATGAGATGTCATGATTCATTCGCGTTTCCATCTGCAGCTCCGGTTACTTGAGAGAAAAACATGTCATGAAATTACAACAATTTAAAATATGTATCGACCGCTGTTCAGTTTGAAGCTCATACAAAACGATTTTTTACAGCCTTCAAAATGATCTTAACGTTTATCATAGAATAGTTTTACACAGTATTTAAACTTTTGGTATCGTTGTCCTATTTTTCCTTCTCTTTAGTAGTCACATTTTCACTGCTGCAATATGGCTGAAAACTGTTTGAGCTCAATGGACAAGAGCCAGACTGAAGAGGCAGTTTGTCATGTGTGATTTCAAAGTGAGCTGCGTAGCTGCAGCCTGCGTTTTCCATTTATCTGTGAACACATGGAGACCAGCAGCGGAAAAGGACACAGCGGACATCCTGCTAGTGTCAAACCCACTCAGGAGCAACAGGATTTATGCTTGAAAACAACTCTCTCATTTAGAGCCAGGCTGTGTGCCCCGGCCTACTGTGCATCAGCTGCATGATTCCTCAGTACTATGTCTAAAGAAACAGTTT